ATGGGGTAAACCTGCTATAGAGATGCATATTATTGCATGAAAATTTTCTTATCATGGCCCCTCTTGCTGGTACATGTCTCAGAAGGCGTCTGAGAGGCCGTGTCTATCTGTGCCGTGGTCGCCATGGACGCCATGTCGCGACGTTGATAAGCTATCAGCTATCTCGCATGGGGATGGGAAAATTTTCAGGGTTGGCATCAGCGGAATCAGATTTGTTTGTTCGACTCCACTATGTGTCTTAGCCTTGAATGGCCGAAGCTGGCCGAGCGCTTATATGTAAAACCGTAGCCGTTGGGAGAGAAACATTGTAGCCCATGTCTGCTCTTTTTGTGAGTTTTGGTAGCGCTATCACGGGAAGGGACTCTGGTTGTCCGCTGAGGTACTTATTGGGATATTATTCCCGTCCAAGATTCCCGCGGATTCAGCCCTGGCGATCATGTCCTGTTGTACGACACACCCACTGGACATCCAAGGAAGATTGCCACGTCCATGATTAACGAAGTGATGGAGGGTGATGAAGCCGGGCATTGAATTTGCGATAGTCCAATAAGAAATTGAGGCCGATAATGATCAGTAGTTTCGAAGCAATTCGAATTTTTTGCATCAAACCATGTCGCAATCTTAGACAAGCCCAGAATGGACTTCCCATACAGTGATAAGTTCCTGACCTCGGCGGCCTATCGCATTTACGACACTCCACGTGGGGTGATAGGAGTTCGTCCCAAAATTAAAGATCGGTAAGATCCAGAAAGGGTAATCCGGGTTACGGGCGAGGGGAGGTCAATATAAAACAGATGAACCCATATTGAGGGGACGCCTCGTAGGAATCGCAGCGATACTCGCAATCCTCGGCAGCTCTACCTCAAGCTACCCCCCCAGGCTATCTCGCAAACCAGGAGTTGGGGTTATCTTCTTGAGCTCCCTTGCAGGAGTTGTGCCGAATGATGTAACGATGGACTGTAATGTGGTATGTAATGTAGAAGCCATGTACAAAACGTACAAGCCATAGGTTGTATGCAAGCCGTCCATGCCAGCCGGTGGAGAACCGGGAGGCGAGCGACGACACCTACCTGCCTGCCTATACCTACCTACCTAGCCGTGCAGCATTTGCAGCATTTGGATAAAGCAACACATCGTACAGCCCGGAAGGCTACACTGCTTTTGCGTTTGCCTTCCAGATAAACTGTAAATACGACGTGGAACCCAAGCCCCCTCGAGTTACACAAAGTCAAAGGCAACCTGCAATTGAAGACAAAAGGGGTAATGAGCCACAGTTGTATGTGGTACAGTAACCTTCAAACCACCAAGGTAGTTGACGAGAGTGTCAATATTGATGTGAGTGTGCAATAGAAGGGGGTGGCCAAGCGAGACAGGGGAGAGTAACTTCAAAGAGGGGTAACGAGATGGATCAACTATCAAAACAGATAGCCGACGTTGAAACTAATCAATTGACCACGACTACATTCTTAACAGCCAAGGAGAATCAAAGAGTTGAAGAGCCTTTGAAGATCGCCAGAGCTGGATCGGCAGTCAGGTGGTAAGGGGATATGCCGGATAAGACTCTAAGAAGCAGAAGCGAGGTCGGACAGCCTCAGACAATGAGACAACACAGGCATACAGGCATACAGCCTGTAGCGTATTTATGTATGGGTATGTGGTATGTGTTATGTGGTATGAGAATCACTGCAACGGTAAAAATGGTGAAGAGGAGTAGATGGCGACTTTCCCGGGTGGCGCTATAATAGCAGGATTACAAGGTTGAAGAAAAAAAAAGTACGATAGTCGAATTGCTTGATTTGGATCTTGAATATAGTTGGTTTAGTGTGGAAATGTGGAAGATACGGATACACAGCCTGCCCAGATAACTGGAGACTGCGCGGAGGCGGCAAGACGGCAGCTACACGGGAAGACTTACATTAGGTAAGTTAAGACATGGAGGAAGGCATAAGAGAACATGGTAGGGTATAATATGTTATTATTAGCTTTTCCTTAACAGCAACTACCTTGCATCTAATATAGGTACTTAAAAATAACCCGACTGTTAGTCTCACTACTGAAGTTTATATGTAATTCTTACCAAAATGATCCAACTACTTTGTACTAATCTCATACAGTGTATATAGCACAGTATTAATAATTACGTCTTTCGGTTTAGGTATGTACCTACGCACGCTCTTTTTCGAAGGTTAGTTCAGGGCAAAGTTTTTTAAAACCAAGTCTCGGGACAATTGACATTCAACGAACTGGCACACGTGCAATGAAATCCACCTTAATCAGCCTATTGATTCAGATTCTAAGACTCTAGAAGTAGAAAACGTGCAAAACGTGCTTCAGATGATGGATGAGGTGAGCTGATTTCAAAACAGAGTCGTCATTTTTTGGGTGACAGATCTAGATTCGTTACTAACACATGATGGTGTTAGTTCTGGACCTGGTTTCGTCGTTCCGAGCATTGAACATTGAGCGCACAAATAGACATTGAAGCTTATATCTACCTTAGGAGGAATGTATCGAATGTACTGAACGTCTATACTCAGTTTTCAATTACTGCATGGACTAATTGAATACAACGAGTCGTACTGAACCAGCCAATCCTTTGTTGGAACATCGGCCGCGTTTGGAAAGAATCCTAGGTAATCCCGTTCCTTGGACTTGTAACCAATGGTGGTGCAAGTAACAAGAAACTGGTTACATTACGGAGAACCTACGTAGATCGCGACATTTGATAGATGAATGTCGCCGATGGATATACTCTATGTTTTCTTTCCTCCCCTTCTCTGGCGTTCTTTGATCTTCCTATTTCTGCTCACCGCATTGAACAATCCAGCCCTGGAGGTGAGCAATTATGTGATAGATTTCGCCGAGAGATGATCTCCAATTTAACCCGGATGGGACCTGGATGGGACCTGGATGGACTATGGACGGACGGAGACAACCATACCCACGAAGCACCTGGATGGCTGTATGTTTGTTACCAACCCTATAGTGCGCTATCACTTGAGTTAATGGTCCTAAGTTCCCAATCCCAATTGTTCTTGATCGATGAATATTTCCCGTGTCCCGTCGGGAACCATTGCAACGTGCATACATAACAAACATACCTACTACACCAGATAAATGTAAGTATGGATGCCCTACATAGGTTATATCCTTCAACCCGCGAACCGCAGAACTGCAGCGGAGCTTATGTTGCTTGCATTATTTATACAACGACGGGAGTGCACTGTAGAATTCCCGAGCCATCGTGGCCCCTCTTGCCCCTGCCGTAGACTCTTTCCAAAATGATTCTTAAGTTATTAATTTATCATCAATATGCTCAATATGCATAGGTACGTTGGCACACGTCTGTAGCATATCAGCTCCTCAAGGTAGGTATGTACATACCACCTACATGCCACTTACATACATGTAGTATAGCTCTTACAGTGCCAAGTGATCCATACTACCTACATCACCATCCCTGTAGCGAGCGTTCCATTGCATTTTCAATGTCTTGTCTGCTTGTTCGACGAGGTAAACCGTTTTGTCTTAGTACTATGTAATAGAACTTACTAAAGATGAGAGTACCTGGATATGTAACTACATACCCACAGACATGTAATGTGTCTCTATCTGCCTTACATATGTGCATGCATCTATGCTATGGATATATATACGTGAAGGTAGGCTTGAATAACGCTATATCTGATAGACGGATAGCCAAAAACGTCTCTCAAAGATTAGCCTGTCGAAAGTATTACCAATTAGCAGTACATACAGCACTTACATACCTAGGTAGCTACTAACCAAATACGCATTAGAATAATGGACCTTCGGTCAGAGAGGCCATAGCGAACAACGAGGTGATGATAAGAAAATAATAATAATAGAAAGTTTAAGAGGGAAAAATTTTCTTCACTCACTTTCCCATCCTATCTCCATAGTACTTATTTTTTTAAAAGCCATCCAACGACCTTTTACCATGTCCCAACTAGGAGGAGCCAAAAAGGGCCAGGCGCTAATAGAGCACTGTCGTGATAGACGAGACAATGTAGCAGTCACAACGCAATTGGCTTAATCGCCCCTAGTCATGGGTCAACATCTCCGCTTTCGGCATTCTAAGAGCCTACTAGCCAATGAAGGTACGCACGCAAGCACTTGCAAGAAAGTCAAAAGGGGAAAGCAGTAAAGAGGAAAGAGTCATCGTTGGTTGATTATTGTGCATAAACCCAGCACATGTGCATTACATGCCTACATAGGTACATTGTAGTTATCCAAACAGAAGAACAGACGCAACCCCCTTGGAACCCGCAAATACAGCGAGTACAGTGTAAGAAATCCAGCATTCTAGCACTACGAGCACGGCACCAGGGCACCAGGGCACCACCCCAACCAAGGGTCAGGCAGGCCAAGGAGAAAAAAAAAGAAGGTACGGTACGAAGATTTCCAAGGGTGCTTGAATATATCATCCACCACCTCCGCCTCTTTGCCTTCTTCTAAAATTCTTAAAAATCCCCAAGCTTGTTGATCTGTTTAGTTGTCGACCCAATTCAGCTCCTCTCCTACTAGATTAAACATCGTCCGTCCTCATATTGCATGACCTTCCATAATACACCATAATAGATATACATCTTTCTAGATCTATTCATCAATTGTCACCTGCCCTGTCTAGAATCCTTTCCCCGGCATTTACATTTACATTTACATTACCCAAGAGAAATTCCACCCGAAAGTCCGACTTACACAGCTAAACGCCGCCGGTGAACTCGAGTGTTCCGATACAAGTTACAAGTTACACCACCGAAGGCTCTACCACACCGGCGTATCACTATTCCAAGCCTGCATATCGTCAACAACGTCACAGGCGAAGCTATCACCAATCCGAATATCTTGAATCAAGCAGGCTAAAAAGGCGTCATCGAATTTTTCTGGTCTAGACGTTACAGGACCACAATTTGCTCGTCAATATCGTCATTGAAGGTTTTACGACATACGCAGTCGAGCAGGCAAAACACCTACGTTTTTGTCTTGTTTTAACTGACATTTCCTGACATTTCTATGCCAAACTTGGCATCCCGGAACTTGCAGTCTTAATAGAGAGCGGCCTCATTATAACCGACTGTCTTGGATTCTGTATTCGCATTTTATCTATCAATTTGACGTCAGGTACGGCGAGAAGCAGTAGCAAGATTTAATTTGCACTTTGCTGCCTTTGCTGCCGCCAATTCTATCTACCAACGACTGGGGAGCCACGAGACAGTTGCACGACTTTTCTAACGGTCCTCTTATCATCGCCGGGATTATTTTGCAGCTTACGAAACACCCCGCCTTCTCGTCTTCTGCCCCTCTACGCCGAATAAAGTCCCCTTACTAGGCTGGCAAACTAAACAACCCCTCGGACTATTCTCTTTAGACAGTGGGTACTGGCCTGCGTTGATCGCCAGGGCCAATCGCACATACAGTCCCAATGCATCACAGCCGTCGCAAATCCGGACATGCCTCGACCAACAGCTCAACGACGGACGTGCGAAAAGCCGTCACTACCTCAGATCTCTCGAGGCCTAGGAGGCCACAAACCCTAAGCAGGAAATCGACACCTCAGACAGTGCAAAAGCTAGGTAAAAATCCCAGGGACCGCGAGAGGGAATGGGAGGAAGAGCGGTGGTTCGACGATGAGCGGGAAAGCTTCCCTCAATTTTGGTACGTATTTTTTATTATTTTTTATTCTATTTTACATATTTATGACTTCGCATCGTGAACTTGATCTCGATACGCCGGTGAGTGCGCGCTGTCAAGGTCGCATCTCTGATGTCTTACCTAACGTCATTTTGCACCTGGGAAGGGGGAGATCGGTTTCCCTTTTTCTCTCCCAGCTACGCAAAGGATATACCTGTTCGGGCAGGATGCGTGGGCTGCGTCACCATTCAGTCAACCCATGCGGGTGATCAATTTATGGAGGTGGCTTGTGTAACCAATACAGCTGTTCCTGCATCACACCGAGGTTTCTTTCGAGGTTATTTGCGAGTTATATAGGTGGAACTGTGTCGCTGACTGGTCACGATCTCTGCAGTATGACTTGCGAAAAGCAATTCACCCCACAGGACGAGAAATTCTTATATTGCTCTGAGGCGTAAGCCACTCTCAATCCCCCAACCAATAAAGTAATTCTCGTCGCTAACATCCGGGGTCAGGTGTCGCGAGCGTGACCAAATTGCGAGCGTAAGAGCATCGTCATCCCACCATACGAGTAGGGGACATGACGGCTTCGGAGCCAACTTGCCGTATTACACGGTGGGCAATCCGGAACCCCGAGACATCATCCCGCGCGCCTCACCGTCTCGTTGGTCGCCTCCTACTTCGCCAACCACCAGTCAATACACCAGCGCCGTCTCCGCCTTGAGGTCATTAAGTATAAGGCCGGTGAGCCCGACTTCGCCCGTAGGAGGAAACACGATGTGGCCATTCACCCGCAGCGCCGTTACCAGCCCGAGTACATCTTACACAAAACCGTCTAACAACTTCTACTCGTCGACCTACGACAATGGTTACGCGGTAACGGGTTACGGATATGGCCAAGGCGGCACCACCACTTCAGAGCGACCGTTACCCATGAGGAAACCAGGGGCTTACTCTCGACCCAAGAGCATCGAGCTCGTTACGCCGATAGTAGGCCGCTGAACGGCAGCCAATTCCAGAAACCAGTTTTGGGTCCTCGCCATAGTGCTGACGTGAGACTCGGAGAGTTTGTTTTACGCGCGCCGACCGATTTTCCCACGTTCAGCAGGTCAGATCGATACTTGGCGTGGGAGTCCGTATGGGATGTCACAGTCGCAATGCCATGTCGAGGCCCATCCGAACTCTGGTTACATCGAGGAGATGCGGGGTGTTTACTTTTACCTTACCGGTACTCTTAGGCGAACCTGGATGCGAGAGCAAGATAACAATACGACTCTCCCCACGGCCTCACATTATCTACCTACATCTACATACATATAACTACATTCGTCATGCTTGTACCCAATAGCGCGGGAACTTTACCCACATAATCAGCTTTCGGATCGCATGATTTCGAACCTGTTTTTTGCTCTCTTCTTCCCGAACTCCACGTTCCCCATGCAGAAGCACAGAGGTAACGTCTATGCGTCCTGGATCTCGGGTCTGCTATGGCCGTCATTGCCAAGGGAATTAGCTAGGGATTAGGGGATCCGAACGGGTTTACGGGGAGATCCGTGTTCCCCGGTTATCCCGTCCTATGCGTCTCGCTTCGGCCTGCCTTGCCTCTCCCCAAGTCTTCCGAACTTGCCGTACGTGCCAGCTACTTACTTTGTGGGGCCCCACGTATACCAAATAAGCTCGGACAGGCACGGGCGTCGGTGGTTTCTGTTTATCTCTTTTACTTCTTCATCTACTCTCATCTCCAATTTTTTATCTGTCTACAGTAATGTCTCCGAGTTAACCAAACAACCTACCTCGTTAGGACAAGCACTTGCATATAGAGTAGCAGCGGATCTTGCATAAAAAAAGTGGCGGCATTTTGGAACAATGCTTGGCTGGCGTATTTGTCAAGGGTGGTTATACATCGATTATCTTTTCATCACCCCTGGCGTAGCTAAGTCAGTGTTGCATTTATGGTTTTTTTTTTGGGGGACGATAGCTTGGTATCTAGCTTGAAATGATAAGGGGCAGTTGGGGCGTTCAACTCTGTTGTTTGCGGGTTCATCTCACCTTGGCATCTGTTTTTGGCATTTTCCGGATCCGGTATATACCAATGTTTTTGTTGCCACTGTTGTCTTCAAAGTTCTTTTTTGAATCCTCACATAAGGGGGTCGGATCTTAATCTGATTTGAGTCGAGATATGCTGTGACGGTCCTTTTTGGCGTGTACGACAGATGAGACGAAGCGATGGTTGATTGCAGTATTCATGCCGGTCCTTACCTTGGTGTTGTGGGGGACGGAGATAGGATGTAATTGCGCAATGAAATCATAAATCTTTTTCTACGCTACGATTCCACACCATGCCCGTGTCTTTGGTCGTGGTTTCATTGACGTACGAACGACAGCTAAGCCGGAGTTCTGACGTAGGCAAGAGTTTTTCTTGGGGACGTGGTAGGGCGGTAGGGTGGAAAGGAAAACTTTGTTCTGAGGTGATTCTAGGACTTTGATACGTAATACCAAGGAGGCTCAGCTCCCAACTTACCACGTGGCTGTGTCTCGTAGATTGGATTTGTTCGCTTTGTCTCTTCCGTGGTTCGATTTACATGTAAGGCTTCGCTCCAGGCCCCTAGTTCGGCCTAGGGCCGAGCGAGCGCAGCTTGTATTGCCGCTGCCTTGCGTCGGTTCGAAATCTACCTGGTACCTACATAGTACTGTGTGTTATAGCCGAGATCTTTTCTGGAGTCCTGGAGGCCCGAGAACTCCGACCTCAGCCGCCACCAACGTTCGCTTAGGGGTGAGATAATCGCCGTCCCGCCGCAGCTCGTTTCCGCTTTGACTCCTTTGCTCGGTTTTAGACGTTGCAGTTCTGAGTTCTCATATGTAGCTAGGGGCATAAATCCCGCATATGCTTATTCTGCGGGAGGTAGTATTTCGTGGGGAGAGTGGTGGACTGGTTGGTTCGTAATTTCATGGCTTCTATACCTGTTACGATCTATCCGAGGCGCAGTCACTGCACGGGATACTGTGGTGTTGCGAGAAATAGGGGCCAATTCGCAACACGTTCTTTACTTAAACTTTACTACATATTATAATAACGGTGGCGTAGGTATGGTTACGTTCCAGCTAAATGAAGTATATTGTTTGAATTTCGACTTGAATCTTCATCATCTTGGAAATGGGGAATCCTCATGTTACCCAAGGGGAAAAGAGTACAGTCTATGTACAGGAAATTTCCACAGTTATTCTCAAACCCACTATCATAGGTATGTCATCGTATTTATATTTCTTGTGAAGGACATTTGGAGTAATAAATTGTAATGGAATAACCCATTCCGATTCCCTTTCAGTCGTAGCCTAGTACCCCTATTATTCCGCAAGTGCAATAAGGGGTAAACAGTTACATCAATTGCAATCTCCTAGGTAGTCTACACCGAATAGGTCCTAGCAAAAGGGGTTTCTAATAATTCAATCGTGAATAGAATTGAAATACTATCATTATATATTCGTAAGACCAATTAAATTTTTCACGTAGGGAAAATCTCACCATGATAGCTTCACACGCCTTTTGCCCCTCATGACTCTTACTCCTTAACATGGAGCTCTTTGTCCCTTTTCCTACGTAATGGAATTGTCAGTTTCAATCTTTACTACTTACATTTCAAATGCTTGGGGATCTCTGATAGGTGATGATATTCTTTAAAGGTGTCGAGGGACATTTAGATGAATATATACCTAGGCAGATATATCCAGCCTGAGGTTTCCTGGTCGAATAACAACCTCGTCCTCATTGGATACCTAGGTAGACAGGTAAAAAATTTTCTAAATTTCCTGCAATCCCTATTGCTAGTGCGCGCTCTCTACCGTGAACTATTAATAAGCTTGCCCCCTTTTCCTAGTCTAAGGTGGTCAGTAGTAGCATCTTAGGCATCTAACATGAACAATTGCGAATCCTCACAGGTCAATACTACATCTGAAATATAAGGACTTTAACAAATAATGTATAATGTAACGCGTTTATATAGGATAATCTATCTAGGTTCTTCACAATAGTCGTATCTGGTAGCCTCACATACAATCTTCGTGAATAAAAAGGTGATCAAATACGTATCAATATCTCTTACACTTGTTGGAATAGATTGGTGAAGTTCAGTATGGAAGTTACGTGAGTCATCATAAGCGGTTTAGTTTGGAAGTTGCGGCTGCCCATGAGCATCGTACTTTCCATCTAGCAGTGGTACTCCATCATCCAAATCGTTTCGGGAGAAGGAACCTTATGAGAAAACGTTCCATGATTTCCTTCTTCTAAATCTTTTTACTCTTGCACTACTTCCCCTTCCTTTCTTGACGTGATTCCTCAGTCAACGTTTTACTTCGTCCATGAAGTTACGCGTTTCATTTTGAAGCAGCTTATTTTTACCACCATTTCTCATAGCTGATGCACAATCTTTTCGAAAAGGAAAGTTCACTTCACATATTAATTTGATCTTATCCTACTTCCATACTATCGTATCACTCCATCATGACGCCGGATGGAGAAAGATCATCGAGATCTAATATGGATCAGTCACTAAGTGAAGCAGAACCTTATCCTGTAGAACACAATACCACACTCCACTCCATTCATGAAAGAACGACCATCAATTCCGCCTTGCGATCGAATTACGCTACGAAATGGGGACCTGTTGAAGCGTTCCGTGAACTCGTACAGAATTGGTTAGTTTCCATAATATATTTTTACCTCTATGAGCTACTCAGCGGAACTTACTAATACTTTCGTAGGCGGGATGGAATTATTCAATCATTCAAGCTATCTGAAGAAGACTTCAAGGTTATCCTGAAGGAGAATGATGATGAGATTGTCTACACGGCTATAGCACCAAGCACATATCGATATTTAACCCCATTGCATGAATGCCTTGGATACATTCGATGGACCCGGCAGCAAGGAGCGGGCACCGTAGACATCACTAACAGACAAGCGACAATCGAACCGTGGCATCTAACCATGGGAGGTACAACCAAGGTGGCCGACAAGAATCAAGTCGGAAAGCACGGCGAAGGGCTGAAAATTGCCCTTCTCGTGCTGATGCGGGAGCCGCAGAATCATGAGGTCCGGTGCCATTCTGGGGGGTTTGAGTGGACGTTCAATTTTACCAGCCAGCGAAGACTCGTCGCAAATCTCGTAAGAATGACTCCAAGTACAGCTGGCAAAGCACAAGGTCAAGCGCCTGTTGAAGCTTCCCCCAACGAAGACGTCCAGTTTCTCATCGGTACTATCAGCAAAGGTCGCAATGAGTATGGTTACCCGACGGAGAGGACAGAAGTAACAAGAGACGAGTTCAAAAAATGGACTAAATGCGCTCTGTTCCTGCAAAATATACCCGATGCGGATATTGTGAAAACAAGCAGAGGGGACATACTTATGGATCCGAGATTCAGCGGAAGTATCTATCTAAAGGGTTTTTTGTTGAAGGAATCGACAAGAGGAGGATCTGCTAGTGTAACCAGTAAAGCGTTGAAACACGGGTATAATTTTGCAACTGGGATGACAGATCGTGAGAGAGAGTTCATGGCCAGCTCCGACGACGAATCACGCGCAATTATGGCGATATGGGAAAGAGCACTATCTGTTCGAGGCGAACTCGTCGGAGAGTTGCATGGATTGCTGATTTCTGAGCAAGAGTACGCGGATGTATACCGAGCGGAGGATTTCATCCATGAAAGTACCAAAGGTCGCATCAAATCGTATATTCGCGAAAAGTTCAGTACCATATGGTACTACACGGCCAAGGAACAAAGCTCGGTAAGTCTCAAAAGGAATATTGATCTTGAAAGGATAGAGTGTGCTTACATAGCTTAGAATCATATGTTTGACAATATTGTGGAAGCTTTCAGCCGCACACCTGAAGAGGTGAATCAACGTTATTGGGCTATCCTCAAAGATAGCGGGTTCCGAACGGCCGACGAAGAGGAGATGAAGCGGTTCAACGAAGCGACAACTTTGCCAAATACCGGGAAATTTCAAAGCTCACTTCGTTGGCTCATCCGGGGCGGCCTCGAGGGTTGCCATATAACGACTGGTACAGATGTGATGTTTGTTAAGGCTGATCGGGTGGTTTGTGATTCAAGATATTTCCATGAGCTAAAAACATTCAAGGTAATGTTAGACAAATGGGAACAATGTTGTACCTGGGAGTACCTTCGAGACTTAGATGTTTCTAACATTTTGCAGATACACGAGAAATGGTCAAAAATGCAAAGTGCCATGAAGATACTTGGCCAACACCAGCAGGCTAGCGTTCAATCGGTTTTGCTGGGTGCCGCCCAATGGCTCATTCGCGATGCGCTCTCACAGGTGCCAACGCACCTATTCAACCCATTCAATACAAATGCTCAATCCAATCCATTCAGCCGGAATGCTCAATGGGATCCATTCACCCTGAATGTTCAACGTATTCTTTCCCAGCACCAGAAACAAGCTATTGCTGAAAGCGGTCGGAGAATCGACGAGGTTATTCAAATACTACGAGTAACACACTTCGAAGTGTATGACTGCGGGACGTTCAACAAGTTGGCCGTGAAGTGGAATAAATGTGCTGCCTGGTCCACCACGAAGTGTCAGGTCACTATTCAACTTCATCGCAAGTCAACCTGTTGGCATGTTCGGGATATCCTCAATGGGAGCACGAGTAAGTGGAGGTTGCCCATAGATATGGACATATGTAACAGATGCAAACTAACAAGTTCGATACGTGTAGTTGTTTCCTCAAACATGACATGTTGTACTCACATCACCGAGGTATCTCATAAAACATTTCCTGCCACCACTTGCTTTACAGCAACAATTCCCTTTGATAAGGAATCATTCGAAGTACAAGTCGAAAAGGGACAAGATTATTATTATTTGATGTATAACCCAGAAGACTTGATGGCACTGGTGGCATTCTGTCCGGACAGAAAAACCTTCATATTAAAAGCTGATGGCAATAACAAGGACGGTCAAGGTTCTGTCCGGGGAATCGGAAATCTGCCTCGTAAGTTTATGGATGTGATAATGAATGGGTATAGGGGCCGTCGCTAATGTGTCTACCTATAGAAGCCGCCCCTCAATCAAGACCAGTGGTTCAACTGCCGCCCCAGTCTGTGGTTCCATCGAAGGTTCCATCAAAGCGCCCTTGGGAGGATAATTGATCTCTTGGTGTGAAGGAACTCAAATATGACTGTGTTGAGGTATACTAGGGTTAGTATGTGTGTATGTAGTGGACAATAAAGTCATCATTGCTGCCTTGTACATTGTTAATAGGCCGTGTTATGTAAATGCCTCTTATTGGTTACTAAAATGTAAGATACGTACTAATATCTATGCGTTTTCGGTAGAGGGATATTTTGTGATAGTTAATTATACCGAAGGTTAAAATATCTTATTAGTACATATTATATAAACCAATGACGTCCTGTATGACGGGATCCCTGCAGGAAAAAAAAGTAGCGACGCGAATAATTGTGTCCTTACAACATTGGCGTTACGCTAATATCCTATTCATCGAACACGATGCAACAATAAAGAATGAAATGAAGTTAGCCGAAAGATGCTAAAGGACCCTTTCTTCAACACTCTTCGAGGTTAATTCTGTAGCTGTCTATTGATGGATTAGATTAAGATGGCGAACGAAGAGGATGAGCAGCATGCGCAAACAGATGAACTCGGGCTGGACCTCAACACTACAGACTCGAGTAGCGACGATGGCGGTTCGGGCGATGAAGACGGATCACCACCCGTGGAGTGGCTTGCCACAGGACGAGAAAGACGATCAACCGCTGGCAATCGCATGAAATCTATGATCGCCGCCGAAGAACCCGACGATGATCTTGAACTCCTCTTCGCCGAAGATGAAGATGATGCGGGTTTCACAGACGTCGAGGATGATGGATCTGACGTGCAGATGGACTCATCATCGGATGAAGAAGATGCGCAAGAGAATGCCGACGAATTGGAGGGAGAAAAGGAGTTGGAAAAGCAAGCTCGAGAAAGCAGACAAGCCTCACGGAAACGAAAAGCCCAAGAAGCAATTCCGATCAAATTTCGTAAAAAGGTCAAGATTGCGCCCACACCCTCCGGAAGTTCGACGGCACCTGAACCGAAACCGAGACCAAAGAAGAAATCTGAGAGGATAAGCTGGTTACCGTCACCAGCCGACATGCCTACCCGAGCTTCGAAACGAGAGACTACGATGCTCAGCAAGGAGCAGCTGCATCAACAGATGATCGAACGTGAAGTCAAGCGTCTTAAGCAGGTCGAAGCTATGGAGAAAAAGGCAAAGAAGATGGAAGCCTTGAAGAAACCGCCCATGACACAAGCTCAGAGACTCGCAGAAGCGGCTATCGTAGAAAAGAAGAACTCGAAGAGCCTAAACCGTTGGGAAGAAGCCGAAAAACAACGAGAGGAAGAGCGAAGAGTTAAGTTGGCGGCACTGAACAACCGGACGCTCGATGGACCGGTCGTCACTTTCTGGAGCGGAGTTGGCGAATGGGTCGACGGCAAATTGAAGCACGTTGGCAAGATTGTCACCATCGAGGAGAAACCGGCTAAGAAAAAGCGAAATTCTGCCGCTGGTCAAGATATGCCAATGGATCCTTCTAGTGCAGACATCCCTGATAAACCTCAGGAGGCAGCGCAGACCACGGATAAACCCGAAAAGAAAGACACAGAATCGACCTCGACTAAACCGGCAGAGTCGAAGGAGAACGCACCTGAAGATGGGGTTGCAGTAGCTCATACGGCTCCTCAAGATACTACTTTGGGAGGGGAGAAGACTACGTCTACCACAGGTGCTGCCACTCCAGTGAATCAGCCTGCTCCATCTGTAGCTATTGAGACATCTTCAGCCGCATCTGGTCCAACTCAACAGGATTCAATACCAATAACTGCTCCACCTCCGCCAGTGGCCCTCAATCAACCGCAGCCCCAGCCCCAGCCCCAGCCCCAGCCCCAGCCCCAGGGATCAAGTCCACTAGAAGCCAAACCTCCAGAGGTAAAGCCGCCGGATATGCGACCTCCGGCGAGCGGCGTCTATACTACCAGCATGTTTGCGCCTCCCCTAGCATCACCGTTGATGAAGCCGCCGGAATTGAAGCCACCCTCGACCAGTTTTCTAGCTCCTCCAGCGGGAGTCACTCAGGGCGGACTTTCTATGCCAATGATCGGATACCACTCTGCACCTAATATGAACAATCCTTCAACTGTGCTGGCGCCTCCTAATACGTCGCAAAGACAATCACCTCTATCTATGCCCCAGACGGGAGTTTGTCATCCTCCTATTTCGGTACCGACTCGTCCAATTCAACCGCCAACACAATCTGTATCGACCCCTGCACCTAAGTCCAACCATACCCCTATACCTACAACTACACTTAAACCTACGCCTACACTTCCACACACACCCGCGTCAGTGCCTACACAGAAACCTACTTCACATGTTCGATATACGCCAAAAATGCCTCTCACCACCACAAAATCGTCTAGGGCCAATGCCCAGAGACATCAACCCAAAGAGACTCCACCACCTCCCCCACCATCACCGCCCGCGAATGGTAAAGCTACGAGGAACTGCATTATCCTGCAAAATTTCAACGAGAATGCCGTGAAGGAAAAGGCCGTACAGAACCAGATTCTATTCGGCAGGGATATGGCTAAGCTCGGTAGTAAGTTGTCTCCCTACATGACCTCCTCACGGATACGAATACTAAGGACAAAACAGAGCCGACACCGGCGCCTCGTTGTGTTATCACGAACCATCCAGCACGCTACAAGGATCCCAAGACAGGCTTGCCGTATTACAATGCCTACGCATTCCGGGAGATCCAGAAGCTGGGCCGTGGCGAATATAAGTGGAGTCGTCTAGTAGGCGCGTGGATGGGCAGCGGATCCGACGCGGCAACCGGCGTGCCAGCTCGGTTTTTGGACCCGGACGCGCCAGGCCCACCGAAGAAGACGGTCGCTGCTGAAGCTCCAAAGGAGGACACCTCGGAGTCGACGAAGGGCGCTGCTGAAGCTACACAAGCTACATCAGCCGCCCCAATTGACCAGAAGGAACATGTTGTGACTGTAAGTGTAGCGCCTTCGGTAGCAACTACGTCGGCTCCGTTGAATCAACCGAATCCACCACCAATTGAGGCTCCGGCTTCAGCTCCACCTCCTACCTCCACTTCCGTTTTCGCTCCAGTCCAGGTCCCAACTCCAACTCCAATACAAGCTCCAGTACTGGGCGAGTTCTCAGGAAAATCTTCCAACCCTGCTCCAGCTATTGCTCCGGTTTCCACCGCATCTCCAGCGATTCCAGTTGTACCTGCTACAGCAACTCCTACGGTTCCAACTCCGACTACGGTTACAACAACTGTGACAGCAGGCGATCAGATTCATGACGGCACATGACATTCTCCATGAAGGGTATCATTGCGAGACTAAGTATAGAATGTCTATCACCAAAAACAACCAAACGCCAATCGATGCAATTTCCAGACCCTCTGGTTTTCACGGCTAGCGCTTCTTCGTCTTCTTCTTATCGCCGTACTTAGGGAAGACAATCTTGCTCCTAGTTCTTCGTTTCTCGATGCGCTTCTTGTCGCTTCGCTTAGCTGATGTAGGCTTGACACTGTCGATATCCATGACTGCGATGGATTATTAGAAACAACAAACCTCGCTGCTTTTGCTACTGCGGGCTTACCGTTATCATTGGTATTGACCACCGCGGCGTCTTCGTCTACTCTCGCCTCTTCCTCTCTGGCATCCACGATCTTAACATCGTCGCCTTCAGGCTTCGGAGGTTTGGGTTGCGCGGCCAGCTCGAGGAGCTTGGCGGAGAGGCGCTCGGCTCTTGCTGCTTCGACGGGACCGAAGACCTTGGACTTCAGACGCTGGTTGTTCGACTTGCGCGTGCTCGAGCGGGAACTTTTCGCCATTGTGGCGATTAGGTTGAGGGTGCTATAAAGTAGATGGACGGGTTCGTGGGACTTTAGAAGTGTTAGTACGACGAACGAGATTCCATAGATACATCGCGTAGGATTCAATCATGGAGTCCCAGCCGTGGTTTTTCTGAATAAAATTTCCAATTTATTAGGAATATTCTTACCTTTGGTTACTACTCAAATCTACCTGGGCATATGAGTACGTTCTTGGCCAGAACAGACTCAATTGAAGTTGGACGAAAAAAATGTTTAGTATGATTTTTGGAGGTCCACATAACTTGCACGCATTTTGTAGTGGGGGCAGGTAAGGCTTGCCGTAGATCCCGCTAAGATAGGACTAAGATAGGAGCTGCAAGGATTCACGATGCGTGTACCTAGGTCAATTGGTACCTACCAAGCTACCAAGGTACCTGCAACCTTTAATGTACGCACTTTGAATCACCATTAGGATTCGCTTAATGCGGTAGGCGGTGAGCTTTCTTTTGCAGAAAAAGATACCAGGTACCTCTTGTAACTTATCAGCCGCCGAGGACGTCGCAGCAGCCCTCAAAAAGAAGTAAGTACTGTTTCGTTACCCAATCTCCTAACCAATTTTTTCCTCATCAAACGTTTATTCGCGTCGCCGCATCGACCAACGGAACGGACCCTACCAAAGTGGATTACATTGACAGTCGATAATAATACAACTATTCCTCCCAACAAGGTTTCTAATAGCTTACGACATACAACGCCGACCGCGACCCCGTCACGAGATTTGGACGTAGGTAGGTTTATCGATAGGATACAAGTACGGGAATCAGACCCAGCCTTACGCGCGGTTGGTAGACTTCAGCGCACGTCGAGCCTTCCTCATGAGTCGGCTCGACTCGACAAGGTGCGACTGCCTCACGAGACGATAGCAACCATGACTACCAGTAACCCCGATATTCGAGCGCTGGAGCGAATCATATCGAATATGCTTAATAAAAATTTACAACAGATTTGTTCATCTCATGGGCTAAAAACAAGTGGGGTCAAGGCCAACCTGCAGAATCGCATCAAGGACGGTTAGTATTTTCAACCTCCAGAACACCTCCAGAAATTATACCAAGCTATTTTCGACGGACGAAAGAATTGCCTTGGTTTGCGCGAGGGTGCGACGAAGGAATCAAAGCTTCATCATAAAAGTTGAAGCTCTATTCTGCCTAGCCTCTTTCATCCGATCTTCTTCTCATGGATCTTATCCTTCTCGTTTTCTACCCAACTCTCATTCTCTAAACCACTATTTCAACTTCCCAAACCACCGCATTCGACCCTCCACTGACACTTCAGAATGTAGCGCTCCACGAAAATTACACCTCCGATCCCACCAACTTTGGCAAAATCCGGGACACGATATTATCTATTCAGAACGGCTCTGGCCGATCGAGTATGGCGCCTCCGTCGGCTTCGGGCTCGGGCAGCCAGCCTCCTGCCCCGGGGAGCCACAACTATCCTTCTTATTACAATCCGTACCCTCAACCCGGCGCCGGTGTGTCTCAGCAGGGCAATCTCTACAATAATCGCACAGGCCTTAATGCCTACAACCGAGCACCTCAGTCGGACAACTTATTCAAGAATACTCCTTTTTACACTATCGAGACAAGAGTTAGCGCTCTGCACATGTGCGCAGGTAAGGTGGACGCGCTGTGTGGTGTTGATAATTTGTCTAACATTTTCCTAGTAATGAGTAGTCATCGCAACTCACTCAACATCACCTTGAAGGCTAGCGACTATCCAGACCTGGCTCGTTGCGCCCCTTATCCGTCGCCCATGAGAGTTATGGTCTTTTGTGGGACCGAGAATACGGGCCCTCAAGAGATCCAATTCCCACACCAATCCGAGCTCAAGGTGAATGGCGAAGATATCAAGCATAACCTGCGAGGTCTTAAGAACAAGCCGGGCTCGACTCACCCAGTCGACATTACGCAACACCTGCGATTGAAACCAAGCACTTATACGAACAACATCGAGTTCACCTACGCATTGACCACGAAGGTACTACAGGATATTCCTTTCGAGGACGCTCAAGTGGGCCACACCGTCGGAGCTGAGTAGCTCTGCTCCTATTGATTCATGAATATAGCTAACAGCTTAGAACCAGAAGTTCTATCTAGCGCTGTACTTATGTAAAACGCATTCGATCGACGAGCTCGTTGCGAAGGTTAAGACGAAGAAGATTTCCAAGGCTTCCGTCATCAGAGAGAGTATGGCAGACATCGCATTCCTAATTGGTGCTACGCATGCTAACCTCCTTGCAGTTTCCAAGAAGGCTAACGACCCGGATGTCGTAGCGACATCCCAGGTTTTATCTCTGCTATGCCCGTTAACCTACATGAGACTGAAGATTCCCTGCCGAGGAATGTCCTGCAACCACATCCAATGCTTTGATGCGAATTCATTCATGCAGCTTCAAGAGCAGGGACCGACGTGGAGCTGTCCGATATGTTACAAGGCAGTGCCGTTCGAGACATTGGCGATCGACGACTACGTAGATGAGGTCTTGGTAACCACGCCCGATTCGCTGCAACAGGTCACCATCGAACCAGATGGTCAGTGGAGAACCAAGACGGAAGAGCCAGAACCCAGACGTTCTCGACCTTCTGTTAGCGCTAAGATCGAGGACGACGATGATCTTTCGATCCTCTCTGACTCTCACAGTTTCCATAACGGTGCTTCTACTAGCTCGATGAACGGAAGACATACGTTTAGCACACCGATTCGATCTTTTCCTCATGGTGGAAACGGTGGAACGCCCAACGGCGGTTCTCGAGACACGCCTGCTGCGCCAAGATCAAGCAATAAGCGACCGGCAGAGGTTATCGATCTCACCCTCAGTAGTGATGAGGATGACGAACCCGTCGCCCGGGCACCGAAACGCCAGAATCAGGGGACGACGCTCAACGGCCTCAGCTACACCTCTGCCTACACCCCTTATTAGGAAAATGGGTCTCGCTCACCGCGACTCAGCGACGCAGGAGAATCTTCGCAACACTCAACGAAGGAGCGTTTCCAGAAGTTGATCGCAGACCTTCTGCGAGGCAGTAAGTATGATCGTGATCTACAGTGAGGGTTAGGTCACTTCGAAGTGAAGCGCGCCTCTCACAGTCCTAATGTACACACAAGACACGATAATTCTGCAGAGATCAAACCAGACTCCACCAAATCCGATAATATCGGAAGTTCTATCTGGTGATTCTCTATCCTTTCCGTCGATCATTTTCTTGTGTACATAGAACCCGGCCAGTTCCTCGCGCAAGAAGAGTCTAAGTGCGTGTGTTTGTGTAAGGTTACGAGGAATGATAGGGGAGGAATGATCACATCGGCGTTTGGCGGGACGGGAAATACCTCTTGCATTTTGAGGCATAAAACGGCTGGACTGCGAAACAAAGGGACCAAGTCACTACGCGATGAATTTCCATGGACTCGGGGAGGCTTTTATTGGTCTCTTTGCATTTTAGTCTTAACTTAAGACTGAAAAATGATGGCAAAAACAGGTATTGACTTACGTAAGCATAATATTGACTGAGGTGTGCTTATATGCATACCTAGTAGTTGAAACGAAATGCATGTAAGCGTGTGTTTAATTGATTAGCGCCTTACCCACTACGCAGCCGCTAAAGCTACCTAAACGTTAGAAACCTAGCTTCAGCCCTGTCTGTCCCACTAGTACTTACAATATTCAGCCTCGAGCTTGACGATACCGACAGTTTCAACGTGTATCAAATATACAAGCTGACGACAAAAAACACCGTAACTTTTCACGAACGGTATAGACGATAGATTGATATTGGCAAGCTCTGGAAAAGTCGGGATACAGTAGAACAGCGACGAGAATTGTTACTTTCTACACACCCTTAATCCGTAGCGCACCGAACGCATTCATCACCATCTCCCGCCCAATGCGCCGCGGAGCACCGCACCCCAGACGATACGAACACCCCACGCCGCCACCGACAGTGCTCCCGAGAGGAATATAAATATAAGGACTGCAGAGCATACCTATCTGTCTACCTACCTAACCTACCTATCTACCTAGGTAGAGAAACGAGGAAGCAAAAGAAAGGAACGGAGTAGGAAACGTAAGAGAGGGAAGGCCACGGAAAAGATGTCGTTCGACCAACCGCTCCCCCCCTTCAACGCTTCGGACCCGAACGCCAGCTTCCTGAGCACGTCGTGCCTGGACTTCCTGATGATCGAGCTCGTGCCCATGACGTACCGCGTCGCCAACGAGCTCGACGCCGCCGCCTCCGCTTCGTCTCCACTCACGGATGGTGAGGGTGGAAGGAGTAATAGTAATGGGGCTGATACGGCGGCGGGCTCGCATAGGCTGGACGAGGACGAGGAGCGCGACGCCGTTTTCTTCCGGCTTGATGGGTTGGGGTATCGGGTTGGGCTGGGGCTTGTCGAGCGGTATGTCTTCATTTCTTTTCTTTCTTCCATTTATTTCCCCCTATTACATTCTTCATTTCTTAAGAAACAGGCCGACCAATCGAAACCCTCCAATCTAATAAGTGTTCATAATAATAACAAAGATTTTATAGCTTCTCCCGCGACCGCCCGCGCTTCAACGACACGCTCGACGCCATCAAGTTCGTGTGCAAGGACCTGTGGATGCTGGTCTTCAAGAAGCAGGTCGACAACCTCAAGACCAACCACCGCGGCGTCTACGTCCTGACCGACAACGCCTTCCGGCCCCTCTCCCGCATGAGCGCCGACCCCGGCGGCCAGGCCGTCGTCCGCGCCCAGCCCGTGAGTTTTTCCTATTTATTTTTTCTCTCTTCGCCATGTGCTTGTATTATACTACGTAGCCTGTCTACTTGTCTTGTCCATGTTTTCCTTTTTTTTTTGCTTTCCTTAGCCCCCTTTTGCTCAAAACCTTAAGTAAATTCCCGTCTTGTATTTTGCTTTTGCTTGATCGTCTACCCATCTAAGCGTGGAGTAAGAGAAGGGAAGGGAAGGGAAGGAGAGAGCTAGACCAGACCCCTTCCCCCCACCGTCGTTATCACAATTACAATTACAATTACAATTACAACTATGTAATACTCCCTAATCTGGTGCTAACGTCCACCAGTTCCTCTGGTTCCCCTGCGGCGTAGTGCGGGGCGCCCTCGCAGCCATGGGCATCGCCGCCACCGTGCAGGCCGAATCGAGCGAGCTGCCCGGCGCCGTATTTCAAATCAAGACCATACCGGCGAAGCAATGATCTCTTTCCGTTATCATCTCGTAATTTTAACTTGGATCATCTGCCACCGAAACTAGCAGTGGTCTTCTCCAGCGTGGGTCATTTGCCAGCGGGGAGAGTACGTGAGCACCGATGTTTAATGGGGGTCCGCTATTTCATAAAGGCAAGGCAAGGCGTAAAGAAAAAACGGGGTTCAGGTCTAGGAAGGGCTCTAGCATTTAGAAGTAACGGCGTTTAGGGTGTCGGTTGCTGCTGTCAAATATATCTACATATTGGTGTTTCTGATGATGAATCGTCCACTACCCGCACAGGTGTTGCCCGTACACTTATATACTCCTTCCATCACGTGTTCCGCCGACAGGAAAAAACACCCCCAGCATCCAGCGAGAACCCTCTCTATGAAATCCGTTAAACCAAAATTGCCTCCCTCGGAATTCCCCCGAAACCCCTTTGACATGAACTTGGTTGGATACGAGATGGTCTGGTTATGATCCGACGGTTACGCACGTCACTTTTACAACCTAAGCAAGCAGAATAGGATCAGTCACTTGATCTTAATTATCGCCGGAACTGTTTTGTTGTTGACTTTGTCTATAAACCACGCCAAACCCAAGGGCAAAGTGTTTTGGTGGTAAAGCACATCGCAATAACAGTCGTGCCAAAGGCCTCGCAGGCCAGGCAAATCATCTAAATAAAATCAAGGGGGTAGTTACTTTTGAGGGGGGTTGTGAGCAAAGCTGATGCCCTTCTGGATGTTGCCCTTTAGGCCCTCGACGGCGACATCCACCAACTTCTTCTCCTTTTCGGAGATACCAGCCAAGGGGTTGGTAATCTTCTCAACACCATTTGGCTATAGAATGGTTAGCGCAGATTCGTTAAGCTTTTTTTAAAGTCTACTTACTCCGAGTTCAACAGGGGCAGAGAAGAAGTCCAAGCCAGTTGCCTTCTTGATCTCTTCGCCACCTGGGACACCGGGGAGGTAGACGAAACTAGGCTCGACGAGACCCTTCTCACCCTTGACAGCCTTCAATACCTTCTCCGCAAAACTGAAGGATAGTTAGCATCCACTCCCTAGGGGATAGTTATCACGTGTCTTACCGGAATCCAGCAAAAGCCATGGACAACGTGGCGGAACCAGCACCATCCTTGGCCTTGACAACCTCGTCACCACCAAATTGGACACGGTTGACAAGGGCGTCGTACTTGTCATCCGGAATTGTCACACTAGGGCTAACCTTGCTGAATAGGGGGACAATGGTCTCGCCGGAGTGACCACCAACGACGGGAACAGTCAGTTCAGAACCAGTCTTCTTGCCTGCAATCTCAGCGACAAAAGTCTCGGCACGGACGATGTCGAGGGTGGTGACACCGAACAGCCTCTGGGGGTTGAAAACACCCTTAGCCTTTAAAACTTCGGCCGCGATAGGAACGGTCGAGTTGACTGGGTTAGAGATGACGAGGATGAAGGCCTTAGGAGCCACCTCGGCAGCAATCTCAATCAAGCCCTTGACGATTCCGGCGTTGATGTTGAACAGATCGTCACGGGTCATGCCGGGTTTACCTGTTCTTATGAGCTATTTCTGCGCCAATTTCTAAACCGTTTCAAAATACTCACGGGGAATGCCGGCAGGGATGACAATGATGTCGGCATCCTTGAAGGCGACTTTTCCGCCATCGTCCTTGGGTAAGTAGCCCGTTACTTTCTACGATTTTGTTAGATTCCTACGAATTCATATCCATTTTTATCCAGATTGTTTGCTTACAGCGGTGGAGGAGATGTGGGAAAGATCGGTTGCAACGCCGGGAGTGTTGACGACATCGTAGAGGGCGAGTTCGTCGACGAGGGGGGAGAGCTTCAGAAGGAGGGACAGGGGCTGTTCGGCATTAGCTTAAGCTCTCTCTTTGACTACTACGGGCCTTAGATGGCAACAGACCTGTCCAATACCGCCAGAGGCACCAGCAACAACTAATATCTCATCAATAACAATAATCTCTATACAGTTTTCAACTTGATTCTGTCGGATTTCATACCGGCTTTGACCATGATGTCGGTTTATATTTCGAGGTGGGGTAAATGTTTTGAGGGACTAAGACAAGGATCTAGATCTCAGTTATCTTCTCTTTTGACTGGGTATAGATATAAGGTGTACTCGTAGGATTGATGGGGGAGACGAAGGTAAATTTGGAGACGAAGATGTGAAATTAGGAATGGACTACGAACCCGAGCTTTTATATGTCGGAAGTTCAGGTATCTACCTCTTGGCTGTTTGAGGACGGACTTTCTAGGATGATGAAATTGGAAGAGAGTTGAATTGATACGCAGAACAAGGCGGGGCAGAGGGGACAAAATGGGGGACGTGATGTTGGAAAGCGCTAGGGAATCCACATTAGCTTCCATTTCGCGGAACCCCACCATTTCTCTCAATTGGTTACTGCATCTGAATGTACCTTCTATTGAAACCACATGCAAGTCAGTTAGGTTTCTGCGCTTTCCAAGGTTCTCTACCGACATAGGCAAGCGCCCAGGTTGCGATATCCAATGATGCCAGTTGCATTACTCCAGAGCCTTAACAACCTTAACGTCTTATCGTCTCATTGGAACTTGTCCATAAAATAACTCTTTTAGACCGCGTCGGTTTACTTACACCATCCCTCAAGGTAAGTATAGGTATCCATTATTTATCAGATGCTCAGTTTCTCTTCTATTATTGACCCCCTTACCCGAGGCTATACTACGGAATTCAATTATATGACTTGCATCATACCCGTTTCCCGAGGTTCACCTGCAGGCAAAATCGGGCAAGGCCGGACGGGCTAAAAGGGAAATCATTCACGTTTTAATTCTCTTTGACCTTTTCTAGAGCTCTACGAAAAAAGGCCGACGACCATGGATAATCTACTTCTCCCTTACACATATATGAGCCTTCCCGAACCACCCCTAAACTACGGTAAGTAGCTGAGGACGCAGGGAGATGTAGGAATAAAATCACTCAAGGTATCCATACTATCATACGAATGAGCTTGGCTTGCTGTCACACACACCCTCCCGTGGCGCCGCAAAGCCAGGGTTCTCCGGATAGCCCTGCCATATTAGACTGGAGTTATCTCAGCCTGCTTCCTCTGCGAAATCCGTCTTAGGAAGTATGCGGGATATGTTCGAAATCACGCAACACGTGTAGCTCTTTTCTTTTCTTTTCTTTTTCAATGCATGTATTATGTAAACACCGTTGAGATTCGGGTTGACTACCGAGCAATTAAATGCATTCGCTCATTCCCTAGCCATCATTTCGTAGCTGTGGTCGCCCAACTCTCATCGGCATTCTTGCTTCCGCCATACAAAGCTTACGACTCAGCAGCAGCCTTCTTGGCCTTCGCGCCTCGGGGCTTGGGCTCGGGGGTAGGCTTGGGGTCTTTCTGAGACTTGCGGATAGCAGAGACACGCGCAACGGCGGCTTCACGGAGGTCGGCTCGGTAACCGGACGCAGCAGCCTTGTTGGCAACGGCCTTGTAGATCCTATAGAGTTGCGCATGTTAATAAACTAATATCCCATACACATCATCCATATGTTAGGTAGAATTAAGTAAAAGAGACGATCTATAGTTATAGATCACCTTCTCATGCCATTCTACCCGAGACCAAGGTATGTGGGAGAAACTGACTTTCGTGTAGGCTGGCCGCCGCTGTGGGTAACCTCGGTCGTAGACTTGGCGGGCTTCAGCGAGGCGGACTCCTTCTTGGTGATAACCTTGATACCACCCTTCTCTGCGGGCTGAACTCCGATGGCCTAGTTTTCCCATTGTAAGTTCCATATCTCATCGGTGTGGGCTTATATCGAGTCATAGCTCGGATCGATCTGTCCATACCTTGTCGTTCACGAAACCGGCATACTAGCTGTATGTTAGTATATGCATATTCTTATATATATATATTTAAATTTTGTAAAATCTCACCTTGCGGCTGTTCTTGTTCACCAAGTTCAGAGGATCCCGCGAGAATTGGACTCCGCCGGCGTCCTTTCTCTTGACGAGGTAAGAGTTGTTGCTTCCTATATATATCACAGATCTATCAGCCTCCAACTTGTGCCCTACTAATTAGGTGGGTTCGCAATTTAGGCCTAGGACTCACGGGAGATCTCCCAGACGAGGTCGGCGGAAATGAGGTTGCTAGCGGTGACGGCCATCTTGAATTATATCTCGAAGTTCGGAGAAGCGCAAGATTGGTAAATTTCGATTCGTTTGTTCTATTACTTTGGCGAATTCGAAAAGTTCACGGCGCAATTGCCCAAGTGTGGGAGTCGCTTAATTAGCCAAATTTGTACTAGCTTCTTATTATCTAATGTGCATAAATCTAGATTTACGTATTTATGCATATGGATATCCATAGCATTGACCTTATGGTAGCACAAGAGGCTGTGTGAGCAAATCTCGGGGGATGTCCACTGAAAAACGCGGCCACGCAACATGCACAGACCACACTTAACCCAAACCGGTAACACTCTACCCATTAGGACTCCAGGAGCGGCCGGGTTGTCGTCACGCATGTCAGTCCAGTGAGACTGACACTTAGTCGGGGTCCACTTCCATCCATTAGAACCACTAGAACATCTTCAAACTCGACTTTCATCACTGCGAGACTGCGAAGAAGGCCGTCTCTTCCGATGGCCTATCTGTAAACCACGATACCATACCTATTCTATTCTGTCCATTCTGACTTTACTTCTCCAATTGTTATTCTTGATTCATTCACTATCTCCTTCTTCCCCACCTTCCCTTGTGTCTTTTCTTCTTGAATCTCCTTCCTTGCTGTTGGCTCCTATCTAACTGAAACCATACGGCTGCCTCAATCCGGCGACCGTCTCACGATTCCCATTCGCCACCCCTCACCCTCAAACATCGACCTCCCAAAAGACACCTCACGAGAAAATAAAGACAACGCACCAAAGAAAACCGAACAAACAGACAAAAATGGGCTACCTCCTCTACTCCATAACCTTCGCCTCCCTCGTCGTCGGCACGATCCTATACCTGACGCGCAACTACTGGATGCCAATCTTCCGCGACCGTGGGCTCTACCTGCGCGTTCCCGGCTCCTTCGCCAGCGACATCGAGGCCGGCCTGTCGAGCAGCACCTTCGACCTCGGCGCCAACGTCAGCGGCGGCGACGGCCGCGCCGGCCTCGACGACGAAGCCAAAACCCAGATCCTCGCCATCATGAAGAAGCGCCGCCTCCAGTTCGACGACGCCCGCCGCGTCTACATGGAGCAGCGCTTCAGCGCCAACGGCATCGCCGCCGACGGCAGGCCCAAGGACCCCAAGTTCGTCAGCTTCTCGTAAGAAGAAAAAAAGACGGGGGAACTCTTCCTCTGCGAAAAAGAAAGAAAAATGAAAATCGCAAAGCACCTGTTACAGATAAGATGCGATGCGATGCGATGCGAATTGGGTCGCGCTCGGACTGTGTATTACCTATTGCGCCTACCTATGCGAAGGGGCAGCGTGTATGTGTATTTTTCGGTAAGGACGGAGCGTCGGGCTGGCTGGTAGGTTGCCGGCGTGGATTTGGGAGGCAGGACGGAGAACGGGCCGATAGGTGGACGGGACTGAGCGACGGACCGACCAATTTCTCGGCGATAAGCATTCGCATTTTCCTTTAGTATCTCGACGGCATGGCGTTTACGGACATGGACTATTCGTTGAGTGAGGCCCGGCGGTTTTATCGCCTTCGGGCACTTGGTATTCGGCACCATCGACCTGAAGTAGGTTATCGACATCATACACCCTGGCGTAATGGAGAAGGGAGGGACGGGAGTCGAGGTTTGCAATTACAATTGAAACCCTCGGGGAGGTTATATATACAGTATAATCGTAGGTGCGATTATAGGGGGACGACGATGGATCGTTCAAAATCTACCTACATACATACCCACGACATTTTCTTATCTGAATTCAATGACAAAATCTCCAAGTAATATGATTGGTCTTCGTATGAGCTGCTATATGACGAATTACGGTTAATAAGTAATCAGGTCGTAAAGTATGTATTCTAGTATCTAGGTCGATTATTCCCGATCAACTTCTAGATCGTACGCCCGATTTCACACCATGCGTAACCCTAGCACGATGACGACGTCGTGCGTCCCCTTTTCTAAACACAATGCGAGCGGCAATATGTCCCCACCACTCAACTACCTACGAAAGCAAGAATTCAGAATCGCGAGAGAGAATGCCACATTCTAGCGTACCTATACATCACCCGAGTTATACTTGTGCCCACCAACTATATCCAATTGTTTTGAGTAGATACAGTGGATACATCAAAACCCCAAGCCAGGCTAATCCGAACTCTCGAGGATGACAATTACTCATGGCACATGCAACTTCGAACCCAATTCGCATTTTAATAGACATTTAAAGGAGAGGCACCCGCATAGAATTTTCAGAGATAAAAGACAAACATTGCTTAGAAAACATTAAGTTGTATTTAGCCATTAAATTTAGTTGTTTTATACTATTATTCCAGCCATTGAACCCATCCACACATACACGTTTTTGTGCCTCGTTATACCCATCGACAATGAGGTGGCGATGGGAACACGAGTGAGTCGCCTCATCTGCTTCCATCTTTCATCTACGAGGTCGTTTCCTCGTTTCGTTCGAAAGTTTTTCTAGTGTAGGTGTTCGGAAGAAATTCGCATACCAAGTAGCACCCGAAACGCCGTCATTAAGGGCGGGCCCAGCATTCATTCTGCCCGTGTCTCTATTTTCCCACCTCCTCTCATTAAGCCCGCCCAATCTCAACCCCAACGCCTCGTTCCGTTGCCATCACAGGACGAGACATCTTTTCGTCAGCCACGCTCACGGAGCTACAGCTGACCCTAGGATACATAGACCTTAGGAGAGAAGAAAACGGGTGCTGTCGAATATGCAACGATGCGAGAAGTTTAGTTGTTCTTCTTGACGCCGGCAGGGTCGTAGGTGCGGTCGTCCTCGCCCTCAACCTCCTTAACCATCTTCTCCATCTCCTTGACCTGCTTCTTCCATTGGTCCTCGCTCATCTTTTGCTCCTTCTGAAACAGACCCTCGTCGGGCTTGCGGTAGCTCTGGCCGAGGCGGTCCCAGAAGGTGGTGTACTGACCATAGTTGTAGTTGAAGTACAAATGGTGCATGGTGTGGCAGGCGGCGCCGTTGATGACGGGGCTGTTAGCCACGTATTCGCCGTCGTGGATCATGATGGTCCAGAAGTTGACGAAGACGAATAGACCGACCGACGCGAACTTGTTGAGAGGGAAGAGGAGAGGGAAGATGTGGTACGGGAGAGACTGCGCCCAGCCGTCGACGGGGTGGAAGGCGTGCGAGGCATAGGGGGTGGGCATGATCCACTTGTGGTGTGGCTTGTGAAGGCGCTTGTAGATCAATGGATGGTGAAGGCCACGGTGGATCAGGTAGATGCAGGCGTCGGTAAATAGGATGAAAAAGGGGTACTGCAAGATCTCGTACCACATCCCGGGCCCGTCAGCAGGAGTGTTGTAAAGTCGGGTATAGCCGCGGACATCCATAAGCCAGAACGGAACGGTCAAGGCAGACATGCCAGGCATCGACTGCATCGCCTGCTTGATCTCGAGCCACATCTGGTGCTTGAGGTACTTCGGGTGCTGCATCGTTTTCTTGTCGAATACAAAGAGGTATGAAAGTGTGGCGAACAGAAAGTATAGGACGAAACCGAAGATCCTGAGGGTATCGTATTAGTATCCAACATCGATCATACATGGGAAAGGGGCAGTCACGAACCAGGTGACCAGAAATAGCGTCGTGAATTGTCGATATATGTTGTCCCTATTCCATTCGCTCATGTAGGCATATTTGGTGGGTTCGAAGTGGAAATAGGGGTTTACTGTCTTGAATTCCCATGATGAGAAGTCCTGGACAGTGGTGTTGGTGGTAGGGTCTAGGAAGTCATAGGGAATCGACTTCGCCGGCAGAGCCAAGGCGTAGAGATAGTCGGCTATGAAGGTGTCGGTGAGCTCGAGCACGACATCCATGATGAAAAAGATCGTAGGGCGAGAAATTGACGCGCGATACTCAGAATGAAGGACGGTGGGCAAAAGAGGAAGAGTTCAAGGAGTGTGACGGGCGCAATGTTTTTTTAAAAACAAATTTGCTCTGATCCTCTAAAGTCAGGGAATAAGGCTATGCAATTTCGCGAGTCGCGGCGTCTAGCCTCTCAATTGGGGAATATTTCTCTTGGGCTCGGAGTTTAGATTGGATTATCGGAGCCAGGGGGGACTCAGTCGATGAAGGCAAGGGTCCCTTCGTACCTGACTAGAGCCTGCAATCGATAAACTTAAAAAACCGATAAGCGGATGCAACTATTGCAACGCCTTAACTCTGATTTCAGTGCTGAGGATGTAAGTGGGAAAGTATATTGCCGGACTCGAGGGGACTAATTCTGCTTTTATTTACTGTAACCGTCGAACCATCCTTCAATGGCATCGGCCCATTCGGGGGAGCAGGGATGACAACAGTCGAGATGTCATATCGGTAACGAAACTTGACATGCAGACATTCTGGAAAAGGTGGGAATGGTGGAAAGGGTGGAAAAGGAGGAAAATAGGAGTCGATGTGCATAGCGTAAGTTAACTTCTGATTCGCCAGAAGTATGACACCACTGGAATCTCAACTATCCGGGGAGTATGTACCTTCCGGTTTGTCTAAGTCTCCAAGGCGCTGGATTCCTTCTAGTTCTGCAATAAAATAGCGGTAACTTATTTTTTTTCTCATTAGACTCCGTACGTAATAGGTGGTTTAAACCTTTTCGGGTTACATGACTGCCAGAAACGCGCTACAAATCGGCTCATCGTCCGCGATCTGATAAGGAGGAAATGTAAGGAACTCCACTTTTCATTCCCGCATCGAACCGTTCTTTACCTAAAGCGGCCTCGTATTCGTATTCAACGTGATCCAACACGTGGAGATTGACGCGCTAATTACTCGCCAGGCTTCTATACAGCCGACCTTCTACCGATCGAAGCCCGGTGGGTCTCGGGTCTCTAGGATCTCCGTCGGGCGCCGAGAGTCAGATCTTTACCAATTTTATAAGGAGCGTTCGTTTTAATGAAGTTATTTCCATGCGACAGCCTACGATATTGGAGATATTCAATAAGACTATAAAGTGGACAAGGCACGGTGTGAGCTTCGCCATGTTAATATTACTTTGAACAGCCCATTCTTCAAATTGACGACGAGAATCAACTGGTTCTACAGAGCTTGAGCCTCGAAAGTCAAGCCGACGTTTCGCGATATGGTTTATTCGGCTTCCTGCCGGTGTCTCAGCTCAGGTTGTCTTACATCACACAATTATCACTTTCAAGGCTGATCGCATAGGTTTATCAAAATTCCGCTCAATCAAAAAGTAATTCGCTATATATAAGTCTCTTCTAGAAAGGAATATTATCAGTGCTCGGGCTCGTCTGGCCCCCTCGGCACAGTGTGATCGACAGCCCATTGCCGGATGCTGTCGAAGTTCCTGCAAGTGTGCGGTGTGCTGTAGTTCGGCCACGGATCTCCATCGTTAAAGGGAAAGTGGAAACTGAATACACCAATGTCGCCCTGGCACATGACGAATTGTCGCAGCGCGTCAATGCAGTGATCGAGATGACCCGTTAGATCCGGGGGCGGTGCAGATGTGTCCCCTCCTAGAGGCGCATAGTAGTCTTTATAGACGTTCTGTCGTAATAGGTTTAAGCAGTGTAATTGGTGGAACACCTCGACGGCGACTCGATAACCCGGTTTCCCGTTTGGATCGGTGATGGCTAGAGAGCTATCGGGATCTAGACCCAAATTTATCATCTCTTCGCGAGATATCATTGTGTCGCCAACTAATATTGATGTTAGACTTTATATTATTCATATTTCGTTCAGTATACTTGGACGTACTGGCTGAAATTTCATCCCATCTTGCGTCCACGTCATCGCCTTTGCCAATGAATGGGCCTTCTGCTATTGGCGGCAGATCGAAGTGCTGTGTTTCGTACTTGACTGCACTAGCGGCCGGTGCTGTCAACATTATTAGCTTGCAGCCCGTTTAGTAAATAATTGGCCTCTCTTTAACATACACCACGCCGAGTATTTCTTCGTGTAGTCCGAGTCTGTGATTTTCGAAGTTTTTGTACAGAAGGATAGGGCAAAGAATGTTAAAGAGATCGATAAAAGAACGGCATGGCATAGCCAAGCCCAATGCGGACTTAACCTTCGCAGGCGGTCTGGTATTGATTCGATGCCTCTGGCCTCCGTCCACTTCTCATCTAATCCTTCCTCCTTAGCAAGGAAAGGCTCCTCGTCTAGAGGGTCTAGAGTGACTGAGCGATACGACTTCCCCATTTTGATTGAGCAGGATTGATGTAAAAAAGCACACCTGGTGCAGCGAAGAAACGAAACGAAAGGTAAGAATTACACCCTACATAGGACGAAATCGCCAGAAAAGAAGAGGAAGAAGGATATAGGCGAGATTGTCATGGTTATAAGAGAACGCCATTCTTCAGCCCTGTCCAGGGTCAATAGGTCATAGCAAGTCGCTACGGGTTGCACGCCAAGCGTAATCCACGAAACGATCCTCGATATGTGTGGAGGATCATCGTTGATTGGCAATTAACAAGAGATTCAACTATCCATCACGAATGTTACAGCATCAGTGTCTCAGGACGCCTCAGAGTGTGTCATGGTCGCGCTTAACACCAAGAAGAGCGTGGGCTTCAGGGGTATATTGCCATTTTTGGCCAGGTATTATAGTAGAAGGGTCTCCTAGGTCGTCATGTAACAGGGGGTATGAAACTCGTGAAATTGTACTGAAGCTTTATACGAGTTACAGTATGTGAATGATGAACAGTCATATATTCAATAGTTATAAGAATAGTTATAAGCCTCGATATATAGTCGAGATATAATGCATTTTATCACGATCTAGCAGAGCTCAGATAGACGATGTCAAAGGTAATCGATTTGAATATCATTCTCCAGTCTTTGATTTTCATGATGAACAGATCAGAACTAGGGTCGTTTGTTAGTGGAATCAGCCTTGTTTCAGCTTGGACTCGAAACGTCAGGATTAAGCGATTATGTAAATACAGGGGTTATGCAACCACTTCTACATAGTCTTCACTTGTGAATTTCTCAAGACTCAATGGATGCATTCTTGCTACTAGTAATTACGTGCGCCCAGAAATTGAAGACGATCATAGTGACCAATATATATTATAAGCTACTAACTAGCACCTAAGGGTTGTAATTGCCAATTGAATTGAAAGGAAAGCATCCATATTACTAAGTTCTCACACCGGGCTCTGTAAGTCAAAATCGTAGTTCAGGGACCAACTGCCCAGATGCCAACCCACACTTAGAAGGACCCAGCTGGAAGGAACCAATATGCAGCTAAGAACCATATATTTTTGCGGTTTTGGCTAGGCAAACTAGAAAAATGTTAATCTTGGATTCCAAACTTACGTTCACTTCAACCCGCCTCAAAAGTCGAAAGATTTCATTTCGGCAATAGAACTGAGCCATGTTTTCAGCATTGCAGCATCAACCAGCCTTGGTGGGGTTTTACACAATTGCTAATGTCTCGACCTCGATCATCATACGATAGGCATGACCCGACTGACCACTATGGTTTGACGCAACGTACGATAAGACATCTCAGTCTCAAGTCTTCTACCGACTTTAAGCCTCACTGGTGATCGTCCAAAAAGGAGACTGAAGGCACTGTATTCGAACGTCTCCCAACCCTCTTGATTTTAGTCGAAAGGAGTCGCATCTCACTTGCTGTCGAGATAATAATATGATGATCGAGAAGAGACAACAGGATGCATCGAACATACAAATCTCCTCCGAAAACACCGACAGAAGGATTCAACTGTGATCGATGCTTCTTGACAGAGAACTTCGTCGCAATCGTGCGCAGGCCGTAACGTTCTTCATTGACTAATGATTTGTCTTTTTTTGAAGACTCGGCCTGGCACGATGAAATTTCGTCCGAGAAAGTCTGATCATTGAGAAACTTGCTTCTTATTTAAATATCTATTAAGCTCTAAAATAAGCAACATGCAAGCTAATGCAAGAATAGTGACGCCATCGTCAAATTTGCCACATACTCGGGAGAGGCAGGGACCGATACTCCGGACCAGGCAGGGCAGAGCAGAGCAGAGCGTCGATACATATCTTGCCAAAGTAAGCCCGAGAACGAACCCAAGTTCATTCAATCCTGAGGGGGATGGAATTCGGAGTTTATAGACGCTGCGGATGACACGTTAAGCTCTAACGTTACTTAGATCTTATTTCATCATCTCGCCTCTTTTCCTGGGCTATTTATTAGGCCAACTACGCACGTGTACGCCTGCTCGAAACGGCGCTCGGGAATTTTGGTGCCATGGGGCAAAATACGATAGCTTAATAGCTTGGAGATCTCGTCCTCATGAACCTTATTTTCTGACCCCAATTAACGTACGCTTACCTCACTAGCCGCCTGCATCGGGAAGTTTACAGTTCCAGAGACCTTGTGGCGGCTAACTCAGTGTTTAGGTAGGTAATTAGCCGCTGTTCGCCAAAGGTACCTACATATCAGGTATCAACCACCGGCGGTGAATGGGGGAAAGCGGTTCGGGCCAAGTTGATACTCAGTCGATGTGGACAGCCGTAATTCTCTGCATCGGGCCGGGCGATAGTGCTTCTGCTTACCCCATAGGTAGGTCGACGCCGACAAAGAGGCGAAGAACGGAGTTTTATCCTCCGTATAAGAGGTGGCCATTTCACAGTCAAAGGAAGGATGGAAGGATCAAGCCGACGTGTTCTGGTGTTGGTGAAGGACCGAATTACTCCCCGGATTGGTATGTACCATGAATCTGGTCGAAAGGATCAAACTTGGCCAAACACTCGGGATTCTTATGCAAGTCATGTTATGGGGCAGAGATGAGATAATAATTGATGGCATATATTGGTACATTGTCCGCCGCACGTAAGACGTTGGATGCAATGTCCGGTGATATATTGAGGGGGAAGTTTCCATCAAATCGGGCAGATGTAGTAATCTGCGAAGCGGCTTATATCCGCGCTCATGCAGTCCGAGATGAACACGTACTATGAGGTACATAAGAGACTAGAATCCGGCATTGTATCGTCGGGGATAATTTGCTTGATATGTGACGTTTCCAATAGTTCCAGGTTGCTGGCTATTTGACATTCGGGTATAGCCTATAGGTGAATTTTGAATGTGATAGGGTTAGTAACGAGACCATTGATGACCACCTAGCATGTAAAGTGAGATCTATAATTTCCAACTAGGGGCGAAATATAAGATTTCGATGTTAGTAAGTACCTAGATATGTAAGTGCTTATTACCTACCTCTTTAAGTTGACTATGCTACGACTGCGGCGTGGACATCCCGTTCAACTCTCCCCAAGAGTTTATTTATGCTTCAACGTTTACCTGGCAAGTTGCTCGTAGATCTGCCGGTTAAAGTATAGCTTTGACTTGGTGCAAGATCTTGCACCTTACGCCTCTAAAGCTTAGCTGGATGGTCCCAGCGTACCATAAGGTTCAGCCGCTGGATCCGGCATCATAATATTACGTATACGATCTAGACTTCTTATAAACAACGAACACACTAATAACAGGTCAAGCCTTCTTGTTCTTTGACTAATAGAATTTCAAGGCTACATCGAGGTGCTTGTTTCGATCAATGTCGTAAAAGTCATCGGTAGGGTTGATTAAACTTGACTATGTATGAGTACCGTTGCGGACGGCGCGGCATGACTTATATTTAGCGATGGCCAAGTTGGGATTCGTGGGTATAAGTAAGTGTACCTAGTGAATATATAACGACTGATTTTATGAATCATGAATCTTGATGCGTAGGATTCTTCTAGGTAACTAACGATATAACGTACTTGCATATTAGGTAGCTAGGCTTGTTGTTCACGTGGGTTAGCGATCGCGTATGAGTAAAACTCTCAGCACAAGCTTGGAAGCAATTGAGACTTAGATGTAATAGCGAGTATGAGCGAAATTTGCGGCAGATTTGGCTTTCATCTGCTGTACATCATAGATAGGTAGCCACAAGGGAAAAAGGAGCGAAGGGACAAGATCAAGGCAAAGCTTTAACTTGGGATTCTGACTTAAATACTTCAAATTATTTCAGGGCGATACATTTGTTACTATGACGAAATTTTGCATGTCATAGAAACATACCTTAAGGCTTACTTTACACAAGTACATAAATTGCTCATCATTGCCTTATGCGAAGACACATAATCAAGATGTGTGTAGATTTAATTTTCCTCATGCGACTTGATTTCTACCTGCCGCACGCCTGCCCGTCTGCCGTACAAGCGAAGGTTCCTTCCTGGGATTTTACCGAATTTAGGTAAGTTGTGACCCGATAAAACCTTTTGTCGCGCGCCGTCGGTTATGTGGAGTTGGGTTAGACGGTAAGTTTATTATTGGAGATGGGTACCGGCTATAGATACGCCATGCCGTAGTACTGGGGTTAACTCAGCCCCGAGGCGGCGGGAGAGCCCGGAACCTACACGTAACCTTATATTCAACGCTGGTTGGCTGAATGAAATAACGACCTTTAACCAATGAAGCTTTAAAACCACACTAAGGGCCGTACATGGTCTTGTACTTCCAAGCCAGCTATTTCTGATGATGACGATAACAATTCTATTGTATGTACATCTTACAACCGCATTTGTAAAAACTTTTAAACAATTTAGTACATCAACGTCATGGTCCGGGCCATTTTGTCTAGCGAGGAATTGTCACAACGGTTCTCTCTCACAATCTCTTGATATTCAGATATTACCAAACCACTCAGCTACTACTCAGGCTGCCAGGTAGAAAGTAAAACCACCTACATTTTTTAGCGCCTTTATAAGATGCGGCGAAATGGACAGTTTCTATTTAGGCCTCTTGTGTGTAATCTGCAGGCTGATAAGTTGGTCTCTTAATCTTGCGTATTATTGCTCTTTGTGTTCACACCGGAGGTGTTTGGTCTGGAGGTTGTAAAGAACGACTGGAGTTCCAACAACCTAATAAAGCAACTCTAGCTGCTCTTCGAACCAAAATATGGAAGCTTATAGCCTGCCTAAAGCATGTGTACCTAGGTAACCTTAGGTAGGTAGGCCTCCGATCAAGATTCAACCCAGATACGATAAGTACATAGGTACAGTAGCATTGCCGCAAAGTACGTAATCCTGTACTGGGTACCTCAGAAAGGTGGGGGAACTGGTGGCCACGCTCAAAGAGCCGAACCCTTCGAATGTATCTAGTTACTTAGTTCTAGGCTGGGCTCACGCCGACCGTTTACTCACCGACCAGTTCCCACAATTTCTTACATCCTGACCCGAGCTGGATCTATTGCTGGCTCTCTGCTTCCCTATTAAACCCCCCTGTCATCCAACCTCGGGAAAGCAGCACGTACAGTAGTCTTCTCTCCTGTACAAATGTACCGTACCTTGTGGCAAGGTTCTGGATCACCTAGAGACATAAGTACACATATGCAGCATATTGCAGACACGTAGCGCGAGCACAAAAGAGTCGCTGAGACGATGCAACACATCCCAAAAATTGCCTTCGTACGTCTGCATTGCAGCAAAAGCCAAGCCGCACCGTCCCATTTAATGTCCATGTATCATGTACTGTATGTGTGCGGAGAGGTAGTGTATGTGAGTTAGTACTGTATGTAGGTACGTTAGTATGTACCGATGTTTTCGCAGTGTACCTAACCCACTGCGCTTACCAACTTCGGCTAGGTGGGGGCCATCTGCGTACCTAGCTTAGCTTCTTGGCAGCGTGCGCCCCAGTTCCTCCGTGAAATCGCGTTATCCACAATTCTGCACAAACTTTCCAGCCCACAACAGGTGTGCCGCACTAGGTACATGGTGTAGCTTGTACTTCTTAGGCGCGTATCCATCCTAGTCTTAGAGAGTTTAGTTTCCCTTTACTGCTTGCCAATGGATCCCCCATGTCCCCACTTCTATGCAGGTAGCCTTAACCCGACATCCGCTAAAAAAAACCAAGCTGTACCACAAAAGGTAAAAATCCGTCACTATCTGGAGAGTTTGAAAAAAAAAGAAAAAAAAAAAAGGAACCTGTGATGTAGTACCGAAGTGGATTGTGTACATTGGCCCGTTGTCTCCTGCAACCCCCTTGCAACATCCTCACAATCCGTGCATTGCAGGGGTCCGCCGCCCGAACCCACCAGCCATCAGACATACTTTCCACCTTTCCACCTTTCCACATAAAAGGTCATGGTTCTTAATCCAGCTCGTGCCTAGCCTAACCCCCAAGGCCCTGGTCAAACAAATCTGAGTATTACCAACCTTGGGGTCTCCTCTATTCTTTCTACCATCCCTTCTTTTTTTCTTCATCTGTTTTTGTTTCCTCAACACCAACTAAGCTTATCGTGCAGCCTCACCTGAGTCGCCCCATAGCAACACTCCAGCCTATCGCGACTAAGACACAATCGATTATTCACCATTGCGCCTATATTAATTTCGATCACCACATCGCCCTCCTTTCCCACCACCCGACTATGCCCACTGTTGTTTGACGGGACCGTGCTAAGTCTCGTCTCGCTCGTGCAATTGGGTTGTGCGGGTGGGAGTTTTCTCGCGTCTGAGGCCGAATAGGAGTTGCTGGGAGCTTACCGACAAGGTTGAAGCATTACGCGACACTTCACCTACCATCTATTCACGAACAAACCCGCGATAAACGCGAAGTCGCATCACTTGTTGATATAATAACCGTCTAATTTGATCTCGCGATATAATTGCCTGCGCCGTAGTACTATTATCCTACAATGTCTATGTATCCACACCGCGGCATGCCGCAAAATGCGGCGCGTCTGAACGAGCTCCTTGATCAGATCCGAACTGAATTCGATAACCAAGTCCGTATAAACGAAGGATGCGAACAGCAGAGTAAGCCCCCCTACAAAAGTAACCCACATTCTTGACGGATGCAAAGGAATAATTGTAGTTGCTTGTTGCGCTTAATCAAGCCTATCAAACAACGGTCTATTATTGAAGCCTAGCATTTACACATGGTATATTAACTCGTCATTAGTCCAGCAGCAGGTTCAAGAAGCTCAACTCATTCGTGAGAAAGTCTATCAATTAGAGCAGCAGCATATGAATATCAAGGCCAAGTGAGTAAATCTTACAACAGCTGCTCTAAAAATCTTAAGGTTCGTTGCTCACCCCCGCCATTACAGGTACGAGGAGGAGATGGTCATACTCCGTCGTCAACTCGAAGCTGCGCGAGGTGGTGCCCCTCAACCTGCTCTACCTGGGCCACCTCAGCATGGTGGTCCTTCAGCGGGTCCTCCACCCCCTTCGATCGGCATGGGCAACAATCTGTTCAGCGGTATCATGACCGGCCAGGGAGGCCAAGGCGGTGGTCTGCCACCGCAGCCTACCCCCCAAGACCAGGCTCCTCCTGGACCTCAACACCAAATGCCGCAGCCGCCTCCGGGACTCCAAGGACCACCTCCACCTCCGCCGCCCCCTTCACAACAACCCCCTTTCCAACAGCCTTACCAAGGGCCGGCTCCTAACGGATTTCCTGGTCAACCTCCTCAAAGCATTGCTTCACCCGGACCGGGAAAGCGCGGCATCGGCAGACCTCCGGCTGGCGGACCTGCTACTCCACAGATAAACACTCCGATGCCGTATGCTGGACCTGGAGCTTCGCCGCAGGTTGCAAACCACCCGACCCCTGACCACAGAGCTATCCCTCCCCACCCTGGCCCGATGGTGAACAATGCTCTCGGCGACTTGGACGTAGAACGTCTTCCGGCACACGTCAAAAAGACCAAAGACGATTGGTTCGTGATCTTCAACCAGCACGTTCCTCGCATGCTCGACGTTGATCTAGTTCACACACTAAACCACGAAAGTGTCGTGTGTTGTGTAAGATTTAGCCATGATGGCAAGTATGTCGCGACTGGATGTAACAGGTCCGCCCAGATTTACGACGTGGCCACCGGAGAAAAGGTATGTGTCTTACAGGATGAGAATGTCGACATCTCCGGAGACCTCTATATTAGGAGCGTGTGCTTCAGTCCTGACGGCAAGTATCTCGCTACTGGTGCCGAGGACAAGCTCATTCGTGTAAGTCAGCTTCCTTCTATATGTCCCATGCTTGCCCGTCTTACTAAGTCAAATAGGTCTGGGACATCGCCAACCGTACGATTCGAAATACGTTTGCCGGCCACGAGCAGGATATTTACTCGTTGGACTTTGCACGAGATGGGCGAACAATCGCATCCGGAAGCGGCGACAGAACCGTTCGACTCTGGGACATCGAGCACGGTACAAACATGCTTACTCTTTCTATCGAGGACGGCGTCACTACTGTTGCGATTTCTCCAGATACGAAGTATGTAGCCGCTGGGTCCCTAGACAAGAGCGTGCGCGTTTGGGATATCCAACAAGGGTATCTTCTTGAGCGTCTTGAAGGACCCGAAGGCCACAAGGACAGCGTCTATTCCGTTGCTTTCTCTCCCAATGGAAAAGACCTCGTGAGTGGCAGTCTGGACAAGACTATCAAGATGTGGGAGTTGTCGACCCCTCGAGGTGTGTCGAACCCTGGGCCCAAGGGCGGCCGATGCGTCAAGACTTTTGAGGGTCACCGAGTAAGTCTTAAAAAATCGTTCTCTCATATTCTGCCATGCTGACAAGACTAGGATTTCGTGCTTAGCGTTGCTCTCACCCCTGATGCTAACTGGGTCATGTCGGGTTCCAAGGATCGTGGTGTCCAATTCTGGGATCCTCGAACAGGCTTTACCCAGCTGATGCTCCAAGGTCATAAGAACTCAGTTATCTCTGTAGCTCCTAGTCCGACGGGCGGTTACTTTGCGACTGGTTCAGGCGACATGAGAGCGCGCATCTGGTCGTATCGATCAATATCTTAGAGGGAGTCATCGGCAATAGCTCGGCAAGCCCCGACTCAGACGCAGTTGTCAGATAGTCCTAGATCAGAGGCTGCCACCCGGAAGGCCCCACTCCTCTTATGACGTTAATCATCATGGACTATAATGGCCCGATTTTGCCATAAGCAATGGCACCCGCACACGTTGGAGGGTTTTGGTTTAGTATTTAGTTATCCTTGAGGCTCAGGAGAGCTTCAACCCACCCAAAGTATGGTTAATGCAGCCTTTAGGTCTTAGCGCCCCTGTTAATGTGAAGGCACGCTCCTCAGACGATCATGATGGTGTGGATATCAGGTGTACTTGGAGAGAACGGGGCAAAACGTTTTTTTGTAACGGTCTCAGTTGGCTGGCGAGGCTTAGAGGGCGCGGTCTTAATCTCAAGTGTTAACAGCAAACGTGTAGCCTGTGTCATTAGTATTGCTCAAAGAATTTTGCTAGTAATTGAAGAGTGATAAATCCAACCGAGAAGGCCTTAAAATGGATATGTATATATATGTATATTTTCCACGATGTTAAACCATCACGATTTCAGTAGCTATGAGTAGTAGACCAGCAGCTCTATCCGGTTCTTAGTTCAAAATAGACCCTTGAAGAGATTGTCGAATTCATCACCGCCCTTTTTGGCCTTCTTTTTCTTGGGTGGCTTCAAGGCCTCCTTACTAGATGCGTTGCCTATTTCCTTAGTCTTGCCTTTGGAAACTATACCGCGTTGTTTCTCCGTAGGTGTAGCATCATTATCGTGGTCCGCGTTCTTTCTAGCACTGCTAGGAACATTAGGAGATCTGGCCTGATCTCCCTCTTTGAATTGTGTATTCTTTCGCCGCAGCTTCTCGGCTCTTGCCACCTCATCTCGCGAGATCACGGCGCCCCCTTTTTGGCTAGGCATCTCCGGGGGCAGCTCTTTATTAATTGAGCTGCTAGACTCTTTGCCGGCTCCGGTGGCGTCAACAAGCTCGCACGTTGGCAAATTGCTACTGTCTCCTTCTGCGGTCGTCGCCACCGCCTCTCCTATCAGCTGGATGCAGGTCGCGTTCACCTGCGCCAGCGCGCTGAGCAGCACGATGCCTAGCGTCGCGAACTGGTTGTCTGCCGTCAGGTGCGAGAAGGCGCTATTCATAGTCCATTAGCAACCCTCACAATGTAATATTCGAAGCAGCTGTGTAGTCAGGTAGGTAGGTAAGTAGTTGTGGAATATTAAGTCAACATACAGATAGCATTTCGGAACCAATACGTCTCGCAACCACTTCACGTGACCGCGCGCCTTCCTCTCCGCGCGGTCTTCGCTGCTGTCCTCGCCGCGCTTGCGCTTCTTGTTCTTCTTCGACTTGGCGGCGGTGGCAGCAGCACCGTCGAAGAGCTCGTCGACTAGCTTGTCGACGTGCCGCCGCAGCATGCCGAAGGGGGCCCACCACGCGGCGCGCCGGTGCTGGTTCCGGTTGCGGTGGTTGAAGCCCCGGAGGACGGGCTGCAGCGGCTGTAGCTTGTCTAGCGCTTCTTCGTACTCGTTGTTGTTGGTGGTGGTGTTGGCGGGTTTGTCGCTGCTAGGGCCGCCTACAGCGGCGGCACTGCTCTGCAATATGGGAGCGGGGGGCATTACATCGTTTCGTGGAATTACGGTATGTAGATGTTTCTTGAGAGAGTGAAGGATGTGGTGAAGCTTTTTATTGTGTGGCTAATAAAAATATTTAGACAGTCAGGTATGGGCCTTGGTGAGATGGAATATCAGACTGTCTGATTAGCGTAACTGGGCTGTATGGATAGAATAAGTGGGGTCCTATTAGTAGCGTTAAAATGATTGGACAATAGCTCTGTGGTTGCACAAAGCCAATCTCACGCCCAGTTGCCCCTTTAAGAAATCGGCCGCCGTATGACGGTGAAGACTTCACTTCGTCTTATGAAACTTGAGGAGCTTTCAATTGGCACGATTCCCATGAGCTGTATATTATCATATCGTTGAACAACTTCGATTTTGTTACAGTTAGGTATCTCCAACTCATCAACAAACCCCTAATGCACCTTGACGAGACTCAGAGAGAGCTGTAGTCCATCAAACTGGGAACCTTGCACAATGGCAAGAGAAACATGAATTCGGATTGAAAAGTACAGTTAAATGATGTATATCTATGCAGACAATCACCTCGAGTTATCCGAACTCGACTACGCGTTCATATTTGCTTGCAATGATTGACAGGACAACCGAGTTCTCTATGAAATAATGACTATCACTTATTTTCATAGTGACAAGGACACTTTCACGTTCCCACGATATTGGGGGTTTCCTTCTATTGCTGATTTCAGAGCATGCTGCCAATACCTGGGATGTTCTGATACTGTCCCGGCATTCCTCAAAGCACGGTCTCTGGTTCACCTTATTTCTCACGCCACGTAGTATCACGACGGTCTTCTACCTACTCATGATATAAACGTACAGTGAGTCCAGTGAGACTTCTCGAACCCAAATTAACTTTATTCCACTAGTTCTTTCTAATATCATCTTACTCCATTCTATTTCCAATTTCTAACTCTAAAAATTACTTCTACCTTCCTCTACATCCACCAATATTACCAGCATCTTTAGATCTCTCTACCACTCCTAGAGACATCAAACCTCTCAACATGGAGGACTCTATCAATGATCGAAACTTACTTCGTATTTTGCTTCTACTAGCATTGCTCCACCTAGTATATCGGCTACTACTTCAATTATACCTTCATCCACTTCAACTGATACCCTCACTGCCTTTCTTCCACTACATGAACTAAGAATTCATGATCACACTCTCTGAGATTCAACGGATTATACCTACAATTATCAATAGACATCACGCCCGATATCTAGTCACTGTTGTCAGTGCTCTGAACCGTAGAGTAAGTCATTTTCGGCGTACAAACTGTTTACCTAGACGATGAGAAAGCTCCTGCTAACGCGTTGAAGTTTGACACTGCCACTCCCTAAGACGAACAGATGGCCAATATCTCCAAGTCCTAGATACTTCAATATTGTTTGGTATGTAAACATTTTCAATTGTCCTTTCCCCTTTCCACTTGTTCTTCTCTACTACACCTACTCCATGTTCAAATCTTACCGTACCTTCCTACCACAGAGTCGCAAGACAAATGACAAGAACTCTCCTGCGAAGCAAAAACCCAAGTTTAATGTGAACCTATCCATTAAATATCCATGTTGACGTTGGCCTACCTACCTACTAGGTAAGTAGTTCTTGCCAGGTCCTTCTCTATTGTGCCAAACGCCATCTGTGCCTTCTTCGGCACGATGAATTTCTATACTCTATTAAACTGCATTTTATCTCCCAAGGGATAAACCTTCCAGACAAAGTTCTACGTCAATTTCCCTTTCTTTGAAGGCCCTCCATGGAAAGTTCGGCGAGTGCCGAACTCTAAAACCCCGTTAGCAAAGATCCAATCGCGCATAGGCTATCCATTCGATTATAGCCACTTCGACTATTCCTTTTACGTTGAGCATTATGCGATATCACCCGGGGCATGGATTACCCAGAACCGGTCAATAAATTATCTACCGTAAACATGCTAACAGTATCGCACAGCTATCCCGACAATTCTTGGCCGAAATCTACGGCCTGTCTAGCAACACAGACGTGAAAGCTCACCTGAAAAGTGAGAGAGAAGGGGAGAGAAAGAGAGAACTAATCTAAGGAGAGGCGAGGAGCAAGACTTGAAGAATTACACTGGACAGATTGAGGAACTACCTACTAGGTACGTTATTGACCTTTCCTTTTGTTTTCAACCTTAGGAGAGAAACAACCATCGCCTGATTTCCTGGACCTGTCTGTGATTCTGACGATGTAAGCTGATATCCTAAATCATCTTCACCTAATATCTGACCCTCTATTTCTGGACTGTCTCACACTACCTCGAAAGTCAAATCTCGAACTATATATATTGTACACTCGGAGATGACATCACGCTAATGACTACTAGGAAGGTGATGAGGTTGTATCATCATCTATTGACAAATATGGAAACAGCAAGTTGACTCTAAGACGCCTCAAGAAACCCCGAGGGCCCTTCGACCGAGCGATCAAGACGTTTCCTCAGTAGGTAGAGGGTGAATCGTGAGAAAACTCTTCTTGGTAGGAGCCGAGGATCTACATGCTAGATCAACTGCCAAAAGCTTCGTTACTTTCTGGTCCTCAGCATACCTCCTTCCGGCGAGCTTAAAACCCGATATTAAGCTTAAATAAATGGTGGAAAATCACATATTAGCTACCTAATTAGGAAAGGTATGGCAACTATAACAACACTTAGTATTCCAGACGCCTCGACTGAAAACTAACCTTGTCAGGCATATGAAAGGGGAATCTCATCTTCAACTCATACAACTCACGAATCCCACGCCACAGCATCGGAAACAAACGTATTAAGCACGTGTTCATGTTTATGACCTCGATCACTACGTGCTAATGTGGACGGCCAATCGACTAAATTGGTTCATGTCCTCGAAGAAGTTCGACTAGTTAAGCTTAGAGGAAAAAGTAAGTGCTACGACACACGAAAGCGATACCTAAGAAAATCTTACTTTTACTAACGACCGTTGAATAGGCAAAGGATCAGCCAACCAGGGCGACTCCGCATGCTCATCTAAAAGCTCTAATCTGCGTTAAGCTCCTCAAAGTTAAATATGAGTCGTAAGTACTGCGCGAAACAGCCAGCTTCTTCGCCTCTAAACACATTGGGGACGAGCCAACTTTAAATCATACGTCTCTTCGACCTGTCAAATCTATATCAAATAAGGTCCTGGAGGCCACTTATGTGATACGATTCTGCTGGAAGAGCCGACTTACACCTTGCGTCATTGCCAAGAGTCAGTCTCATCATTTTTGGGATAATACGTTCTTACCTATATGGTAACGCCTCTTCCCGATGGCACAAGACCATATTCTATACCAAGCATGGACATCTTCACGGTCTGAGAGAGTGGAACGCAAAAACAAGCAGTGCTCCCTCCGTGGCTTCCATGCGACTCCGATCCGTGGTTTGAATTGAAATCACCGTGAAACCTAGGAGCTTTCGATGAATTCGACACGTACGTCTACTCCGAGCAAGTAAAGCGCAAGAACAGGTGGTGGCGTGCATAGCAGCCTCTAGCTGTGTTACTGGAGCCAGACATTCTTAGACCAAGACTCCTTTTCGGATATATTCGGTACATTCTCATTCAAAAAAATTTGTCGACTCTTCAAGCTAGGACGATGGCTAATCGGGTATTGATTATATTACATGTGGCTAAAAGGAAATGGCAAGATCCAACAACTCTAAGAGCCGTAAAGGGCGTGCCGAAGACGAAATCTACCGTTGTAGATGGGATCACAGGCTTCGAGCGTGATATTGGTTCGATATTTCAACAAAGACATAAGGCTAGATACCATCCCTGATACCATCCCTTGTTCGACGTCGAATAACAACAGCATCTGAATGCTTCCACCACATTAGAATGCGAGTACAAAAGGGCACCACAACGCTATGGGAAGAATTGATTGCGATCAATGCGTGATGCCGGACATAAAGTATGGTATTCAGCATCCTATTCAAGGGACCTAGAATACAAGGAAGATTGTGAGCTCTAGTGCTATGGGATGAGCTGAAGTGGTGGTTATTCGATATTCTAGCACGAGCCTGGTAACTGCTATGGTTTTTAAGGGTGGTGAGTAGAGCGCAAGAACAGGTGGCAACACCAATAGGCCTATCGAAGTTGGTGTCGAAAAGAAATGCTCTATTATCTTATGGTATTAGAGAGGGCATGGCCATCCTAAGGATATAAGGACTGGGGGTTGAAAAGCAGCTGAGGATTAGAATATGTGTAGGACTTACTATGAAGGACCTGGATTAGCGCCTGGATATTATTCTGGATTAGTGGTTCAACTCACTCTTGGATGAGGAAGAAAGGAAATAAGTCACATGAGAGATCTACACAAGAAAACTCAATATATGTGTAATAACGCCGCGATAATTTTGTTCATTTTCTGGATATTAGGTCTAGTCTATATATCCAAGGAAGTACGGGGGTTGGCATAGGACCCCGATCTCTGACCATCAACGATGATGTCCAGATCGTAATATCGCCGCTACGGGAAATTAGGTAAAAACTCGCCGCAGAACAGTAGTACCACCAGTCCCACCACCCGTCCCAACCTCCTCCGAACGTATGTACAAGCAAATGCCCCCCTCCTCCGAAGTGGCGCCGGCAATCTGCGCGAAGGCGGACTATTGGCGACCGGTTAAATTACCTCCTCTACTTCGCGCTGGGACGACGTGGTTCCGGGAGAGCGGTGAGGAAATTTTGGGATTTTCTGCGATTTACCTATTCGCTTCGATTCGTCTTAGGGGGCGGTGATCTGGGATACGGGAGGTATGGTCGGGTGCAGTTACTTACCCACGAGACACGAAAGAAGACGTTTTTGCGGCTAGGAGCGACGAGGTATTGGCAGGCGTGCAATGTAGCTAGATGGTAGAGAGCGCTTTTTGAGAAGTAGTAAGAGGATATCGAAGATATGCATGAAGAATCGTTCTATGGTACAAACAGATCTCATACGCGTAAAAGTCATTAACATTCATAATCTAAATATTCTATCACATCAAACATAACCATAACCATTTCCCACCTCTTTCCTAGGTACGTACATACATACATACATACATACATCACGGGTACGTAACATCCACCTCGTCGCGCGCATCGCGTATCCTAACCCTCTCCGGAATCTTTCCGAGCTCCCTTCCGTAATCCCTGCCGTACTCCCTCCCGGAATACCCGTCGTAGACCCCGCCGCCGCCGACGCCGAAATCCTCGCGCGAGTCCCGCGCGCTGTTGCTGTTTTGGGAGCGGTTCGGGTACTTGCCCATCCGGTAGTACTCGGCGTTGGGCTCGCCGCGCAGGTGGGCGACGTTGGCGGTGCCCGACTTGCGCCAGGAGTAGAAGGAGCGCCGCTTCGCGGACGGCGTGCGCGCGCGCGAGCCCGCCGTCCCGAAGAGCTTCCGGTAGAGCGGGCGCAGGGTGGCGAGCGAGGAGGCGATGAGGCCCAGCCCGTTCTCGACCGTCGACCAGATGGACACGACGGTGAATACGTGGAGCACGTCGTCGTTAGCGCTAGACAGCTGCCAGATATACGGGATGCGGATGATGGTCGCTATCGATGCTCTGGTAGGTTTGTTAGCCGACTCAACTAAGTACTGTTTCATCCCATTGCAGGGGGAAGGGGAAGATCGTACATAGACCCCAAAGCTAGGGTGCAAGAGACCATAATCTTGGAACGTTTTGATAGCTCCAGTTTCCCTATGAGTGCGATAGGCAAGAGGCCCAGGATCCAATCGGAGATCGCGTTTATCACGGCGGCTGCGTAAGACGTGCCCCTGATCAAATCATCGCTGAAGCATGATCCCTCTATCTTCTCGGTGTATTGGGTCCAGTAGTATTGAATGGGGTGGCACTGGAATATGGCCATAAAAGTGAAGAAGATGCTGTAGACAAGAACCACGAACAACACGGTCCAGATGACCGTTCTCTGCCATACCACGGAGCAGATGCGCAAGAGGAAGAGGCCGACTGTGAACTTGATTAATAGGGACGTCATGATATATACAATCTCGCCCGCGTATCTCATCTACCACGGTTAGTTAATCAGCTTAGAGCGCGCAAGTCGTTTATATCGGAGGAGAGTCACCTTGAGAATCGTTGGAAAATTCTGAAGGGGGACCTCGGACATCGTCTTGCCTGCCCCTTGGGAAATGCTTATCAAGACGATCGTGCAATAAATTATAAAACATATCTACTCCAGTTAGCATCGGGGGATATTTATCATCTTGCTTAGAAAGCGTTTACCATCGTCGCAACCGCTAGCCAGTCTTCCGCCTTGAAGAACTTCAACATGCGCACTCTAACATAACACCGAAGGGCTAACGTGATAGCCGTTAGCGGGAGGAGAGCATATATGGCAGCAGCCAGCTGGGGCCCGTTATCTGCTTGGGACGTCATTTTCGAATCGGGTGCCTAATTTTGATGCTTGGATACGCGCGTGTCGTGATAACTAGGGAGTAATGCCCAAAGGGCAACCTCTTGACGACTGTGATCACATCCAAGTTGGACAAAAAAAAAAGAAAAGAAAAAAAATAGTACGAGGAGATGTCAGGGTGAGAGAAATAACAGAGATATATTTTCCCCAAGAGAATATCATATAATAATCTGGGGTAATAAGACTACTATCTTGACAGCGACATCCTGGAGGTAGGCAAGGATCTGCGCAAGCAGACGATTGTCAGGGGCATGCATCTTCATGTGATCGCTTGAGATACGCGATCGATGGTCTGGAGCGCTATCCATGGAAAGAGAAAAAGGTCCGCCAAGGGACCGTGCTGTCGCAATTTGGCGATGGCGCCGTCGTGGTTTAACTCAAGTAATAGTTCAATGATCGGCAAGGTCGGAGTCTCTAAGGCGAGAGCTAATCGGTTCGCCTTCGGCCCATGGCCTTATTCTCGTAGGTGGAAATTTCCGACAGCTGCATGATGGACAGCCAGGTACAGCTGCAGAACGTGTAGATGCCGCGTAAGGCAAGAACTCACCAGACCACAACCGTCATGGCTCAGAATGGAAGGCTGTTCATGCGACATTTAGACCCCGTCCTAATGCCTCATGGTTCCGGGACGAATGTTCCACGCCTCGGTGAACCTAGCCGAAGAAGAAAACTAGCAGATCTATGCTAAGCCATGCTAGTTACCTGGCCTGGCCGGCAGTCTGCGGTATGTGGCCGAAATAGGAAACTAAATAAGACCGACTATGCGCCAGCGTCGTTTTATCGATAAAGGAGAGATCAACGAACAGACCCGCCGAGCATGAGGCCGAAAAGAAAGAAAAAAACTATTCGGAATGATGCGGGGTTGGTCCCTGAAAAACCGATAACGACTAGTAAAGGGTTTGCTGTCTCAAGCTTGATTTATGAGTTTCAACCGAGTTCCTGGTCTTCAGCTGCCTAGTTTCTAGGAAACTATCCTGTTTGTGTATTTAGTTGACAAACAGAATAACTGTCTAAGGGGCCATGAAGACTAAGAGAATTGTTAGGCGTTGCGAACTAGTCTCGAACTACTGCGCATACCTAAAAGAGACGTTCTAAGGATGGGGAATTATCGTAGTCGCGGGAAGCAGAAAGGAACTTGAAAACATTGCTGACGATGAGGGTATCCGTAACTGCCAAGTAAATATCAATGTAACATGTTCCAAGTTCTTACTTATCATTGAAGCTAGGTAGGAAATGAATCTGTGATAAAAGTGACATGTGAAATTCAAACTCCAAACGTTAGTCGAATTTCGACGATGAAGGCTGGAAGGGTTGAAGATTAAGTTGTAGGATGAAAAGTGGATCATGTGCGCTAAAGCTAGCTGCTGAACATTAGCGGTTCGCTAATGACGCGCAGGGGACTGATTAGGTAATAGGGGTAGGTCCACGGTTGCGTCACAATCTAAGAGGTACCTAAGTACCTTGTTGTCTTAGGCTCTCAGCCTCAACCCGGACTTCAACGTAACGTCATGAGTAGGAAACTACCTAGGTAGACATCTCTAGTCACGCAAATAACGCACTTCGCAAACAGAAACAAACATTTTGCATAATGATTGTGCAGGACTCATTATTAAAGTTATGATTCCTATTTATATGCGACCTTCCCCGAACTATAACCCCGTAAACGCCATGTAAGAGTACCTAGGTACCGAGAGTCTCAATCTCAGACGCAGGGCAACGGAGAGAGAGAAGCAGAAGCTATCCCAATTCATCCCGCGTACTACAGAAAGCGGATCTTTCAGGCATGGCACACTTCTGGCTGACCCTCAGACGCCTTTACTAGGAGTATACTAGTTTGGCGTGGCCCTTGACGCAATTCAGGGGGAACCTTCAGAAACTAAAGGAAAGAGATCTTCATTCATAGGAAAAAGCCACATGACAAAAGCCACCCAGTCCGATCAATTCAGTCCTGCCACATGTCCTTTCGTAATATGCCCTGGAGGTTGTATTTGACGTCTGCATAGAGAATAGGTTAGTTATCGAAATCTCGTGCGTTTTAATCATCGAATTAACTTACTCAACCTTCAAGATTGAGACAACTCTCCAGCATGCCGTATTAAGAGGCAAGGAACGGTAATTTGCTGTTTAATATTAGCAAACGTCGTGGTCGATAAGCAAAAGAAAACTCACTGGCTGAGATAAACCGTTGGCAAAACGACGAGTCGCACAGAAACAAACCAGAACGTTGCATGATAGGAACGCAAATCGAATAGTCTAAGACCATCAGCTAATCCGCGCGTGCTGCCGGCACCTGTAGGAGGCTTACTGATATGTATGTCGATACCCTTCAGTCGGCTAATCGGACGGCATAGAAAATACCGCCGGGTAGGACGTACCAACGGCAATCGCCCATGTTATCGATACCGAAGCGGTTGCGGAGAGTCCACTCGCCATCAAGCTCTCGGCAGTAGTACATGCGAGACGGGTCGGGGTCGGCGGGGGCGATGTCCTGTCCTTCGAGGGCCTTGTTGTTTACAGCCGTATGATACTGCTCCAACTGTACTTCCATTCCGGTCTTGCCAATTCCCATGACGTCAGGGGCAGAGCTCGCAGGGAAGGCGCCAGGCATACCGCTAGCTCCGACTGCCTGAGGTGCGCCCACCATGGGAGGGAATGCACCGGGCTGGGTGGCTACTGGAGCTGGTTGAGCGATGTGTACGCCGGGCTGACCCTGAATAAAAACGGGTGCCTGACCACCTTGTTGCTGCTGAAGAACAATCGGGTTGCCGGCAACGCCGGAGGCCTATGAAGCGGAAAACGTTAGCTTCTATTTTCAGATAAGGTGAAGTAAGGGCAAGCGCAGTAACAAAAAGGAAGTCTAGAAAATATAGCCTTCTGAAACAGGGAGCTTGGCAGCGCGCATCCACTCGCCCGATATCTTTACTTAAAGTTCATTTGAGACTTGCATTCTGGACGTAATAGAGAGGTTGGGACGAGCCCTGATTCATGGTATAGCATGCGATAGGCTGAACAATGGGCACGACCATTGGTGCGTCTTGAGTGAGAATGGCAGATACCTGTTGAACGGGCACATATTGTACTGCCGCAGGAGCGCCGTCATGGGCGTTCGAAGTTCCAACAACCTGGTAAAGATGACCATCGATCGATACGTACTGACCAGCAGCAACGTTGTTGTTATCGAAGCGAGGGTGGTAAGTATGCGGGATAGGACCGTAAGTGGTGTCAGGCACAGGAGGTTGAAAGTGTTGGCCCTGGTTGGGCATGAAACTAGCGTACGCCATAACCGGAGCTTGCTGTTGGCTTGCAGGGAACGCGAATTGAGGAACGACTTGAGGCTGCTTCTGGACGAAGCCCGGCGGTAAGACCTGAGGCGACGCGGCTCCTGGAATCTGATGACCTAGGTGCGGTTGCGGACCAGAAGCTGGATTGACTCCGTGAACGGGATTTGGGTTGCTCTGGTTGTCGTTGTAGACTAAACCGACGCCGGGGATGTTTTTTACGGTTTGAGTAAAACCAGGTCCGGAATTTTGGTAATCCGATTGAGGAGAGGTGCTAGTGGTGCTGCCGTTGACCTGTTTACCAGTTGCGGCTGTGGCGGGCTTGCGCGCTGGTATTTCCGTGTCGCGGGTAGTGCTCTTATGATGGTTGGGAGAAGTGGTTGTTTTGGAGGTAGAGGTTGAAGGGTAATAAGAAGATGATGATGAACGTTGCTTGGTTTTAGGGTCTCTGGTATCTTCAGGCTTGGGGCTCTTAGGGTGGGCACCCATGGTGAGTGTGGATGGTCAGGTGGTAGCAAATTGTATGGGGAATAGTCGGGTAGTGACTATTATTAAATAATCCTTTGGAAAAAAAGATTTTTGGATTGGAAACAATTGCCCGCACAGTGGTCGGGTCAATTGGTCCTTTCCTTGAGAATAGAAGATGGCAAAGTTATACACTAGTCCTTTGGTTGTGTGACTTTTGGAAGTTGCAGTCAAGGATTGAAGGTGAAAGTGGGAAGGGAGAAAGGATGAACCAGCGCAAAACAGCCAATAACCAATAGCGAACGAATGAAAGGTAAGAGCGTTCGAACCGTGCTACTCACGCGGCTCTAGGGTTCGAGGTAACAAAGTGCGTTCTGAGTATATTTGTCTTTCCTCGTTACCTTGTCCACGACTTGAGGACAGCCTTCCCGTGTTTGCTCCCCAAGGATAGCGCAGTGGTATGTGTGGTGCGCTTGGGCCCGACGAGATACACTCGCAAACTACAGTGACTATAGAGAAAAAGTAATACTTACGGTATCTCTCGTTACCGCAATCCATCTGGCTCCATCCCACACGTATTGGCGGGTTCGCTGTTGTCGCGCGCGCTCCTCCTCCTCGAGGTAAACGTCGTCGACGTCCCAACAACACATGGTGGCGTTGAATTGCTGTGGTTCTGCTTCGCTACGGACTGGAAGATAAAACGATGCGATGGCAATAGGAGGCTGTGACTAAGTGTGGGACTTGGGTAGAATCGCAGTAATTATAGGTCTAGGAGTTTGCTAATTTATAAAGTGAAGGTTGATAGGTTAAAACTCCCAAGGAAAGTTATCTAGTATTGGTGGTCGAGGAAGGAACAATGCGTTATGACTTGGAGTGCGTATGAATAGATCTTCTTTCGAAAGACCACACCTAGAATAATAGTGTAAAAAGTCATGAAGAAGACTAAAACTGTTTGCTGCCAGTCTTTGAATCTGCTTATAAAATATTAAGTCGACGTTAGACTAAGCATATTGAAACTACATACAGATTTTGTGGTTGGTTGCAGACTTGCCTTCAATCTTGTCGCACGGAAAGAGACGTTAGTTTTGTAACGACCTTTCCAGCATTCGGACAATCATCTCATCGCCTACCTACCCATAGAACAAGAACCCTAGGAAAGAGGTGGCGGACTGTGCCCGAAGACAACGCACTCATAACATTTGGTCTGTGACACATGGATTCCTCCAAACCAACCTATATTCCCAAGTGTACGACTACAAACCAAGCACCGCCATCAGCGTAATCCCCAAGACACATGACCCAAACATCCTAGAAAGATGGGCTTGATGCCCAAGCGATCTGATGAAACGAAGATAGACCGCCTCTGCAGCGGAAGTTGTTGTGTACGACTTCGGTGTTCTGTTTGTTTGTGTCCTCGGGCACTGCCTTGACGCAACTGTTTGTCGTCTTTTAGACCTGCTGCCTTATGATAGACTCCGGCCCAAGAAGCTGGGCATGATATGTGCTTGCTGGACCTACGGGTATGTCTGTCTAGGGTCTCGACTCCGTATGGGGCTGTTGATTGTTCCTAGTCAAACTAATTAGCTATGTATGCGATGGATTATCGAGATTAAACAGACATAATCTCGGAAGACTTAGACGACCTACCTACCTACCTACCTAATAGGTGCAGGTGTTAACGAAGTTGGGGTCTGAGGGAAGGCCTTCACCGTATAATCTTGGTAGCCGGACAAAAGCCCCGAGATCAAGCCAGGGGTCGGAAATTTCGCTATAGGTGTAGTAATCGCCCAGATATCACCAGTATCGAAAAGGTTAGCTGCTATCTTGACTGCAAGTTGGCCTAGCCATCGTGTTGACTAGGTTGTATGCCCGCGAACGCGTTAGTGAGTGAACCCGTTGCCCTGGCCGAACATCCTCGTCGGTGTTCCGATACTATCATCAACCCTAGATAAGAGAAATTTCATGTGAAGGAAGATGAGTTGAAAATCTTGTTTCGTTTCTAGCTTTTGAGCATACAACTTCTTGCATGAGCGTGGGCGATAAGAGTAAATTTCTTGTCTAGGATCGTCGTCTAGGGGTTTTCGCCAAGGCTGTCGCATTGATAATTTAGTATTCGGGTTGGGCAGAGGAACCTAAAAGAAATGTATCTGCTAAATAATAGTAATTGATCTCCGAGTTGAAGAAACATTGGCGGCGAAAGAATTAAACCGAGGAAGTAATTAGGTTGACGCTGTGTATTAATATTTTAACATACTATGTACCCAGACACCTGCTAGGTAAATCCGTACAAGGTACTTTTCACGTCTATTCACCTAGTAGGCAATCAACCATCATGGTTGTGATGGATAGGGGTAAGATAAATACCCACCTGATGGTGCAAGTATAAGCCCTACTTCTACACCAAGGTGGTGACAGACCCCTCTCTCACTGCCCGGCGATGCCACATGTCGTAGCGCATCAACGAGAAATAACCAAGACTTGTTCAAAATTGAAAATTCAATTCCAGCCCGTAGTTGACTCGAACGCCTACCAATCCACCACCGTAGGTGCTTTCTATGCACTTGACCGCCTATTTTATACACTTTGTCCAGCCGGAGGAGAGATCGTCTATCGTTTCGCACCTAACTCGGCAACTTTGTTCACCCAATTATATCGAAGTGTCGTACGGCACAAGGCCAAGTTCTCGAGTGTGGTATCATACATAATCGTACCCGATCCCCGAATTCCCTATTCAGGTCGGGAATTATTTTGCCTAGCATTTAACAGATGTTGCTAGATTTAAAGGTGCTGCTCATGCCCTCTGGTCTCTGGGGCAAGTATGACTTTTCGGGTAACCTAATACAAGTTAGTGGTGATCGCTCAAGTGCCGTTCAGGTTTCATACCGCCCATGCGCCTGCCACCGAAGCCACAATACCTCCTGATATCAACATCGGTCGAAGCCCCCGTGTACTCTTGAACAGCATACCGCTTAGACCACCTGCCACAATGGTGTTCGCAGAGTCATGCTTCCCCCTGATATAGCCAATTCCCGAGTTAAAACAGTTGTAGGTAATAGCAACAACGCCAGCAGAATTGCCTAAGAATGGGCCTCTCCGTGTTACGGCATTAAGGACCGAGTTCAGACGTAATTTGGGTGGTTGGCCTGCCGATCTCCGAAGGCCTTCCTGAAGGCCCCATGCACCTCCTATTGCCAGTGCTGTCAAATATGTTATGCCGGTTCCATAACATAAGTCGTCGCTGAAGCCTCGGGAGGGGATCGCCGATTGTGCGCCGGGGAGGTCTGACAGAGCGGAATCTTCTAGATTTAAGTACTCTAAGCCCTCCTTGTCTAAGCCTGCTAAAGGATGTAGTAGAGACGGGTCGGCAAAGGCAGAGCTTTTTAAGAAAGACTCTACGCCTTGCGCATCTTGTGGGTTAAATGGAGTTGGGGTGAAGGTGTCGGTTGGCGCGGAGGTCGAGGCGGAGCTTGGCGTTGAAGACGATGATTGTTGAGAGGACTTTCGTCCGGTGAGCGCATCCCAAATTGACATGCTGCTAGGTGCAATTCTGATTTTGTAAGATAGAAGAACAAAAGAGAAATTGCTAGGCTAGGAGCGCTCGTCGCCGCGTCACTTCTCACAAGGTGCGCGATCGTGATTCTTGTAGTGGTTGAAAATAATTGAAGCTTTCCCCGATAAAAAAAGTTTCAATTGCGTAGATAGAGACGAGTAGAAAATTGATGCGTGGCCCGTGCACGGTCATAAGGGTACGATCTTGGAACCTTCAAATTCTTTAATGGGTTTTTTTCCAACTGCATTAAAAGATTATTACTATATGCGGTATAATCTTATTGCTATTTCGATATACACCTGTTCGTTAATGGAATTTGATTTTTAAAACCTTGACATGTTTGATTTGTTTATAAATCATTAGAATTGGAACATATCTTGCCCAAGAATTTTCTATATGACAGGTATAATAGTTAAAGTATAATGCGAATTCCCAAGCTGAAATAATCCTTATCTGAGATACCTATCTCATTATTGAATATATAACAGGGTTCAAGGTTTCTTTTACATCCCATTAACTGCATAATGAAATATCAAACGAATTGGGGTTTATCAGGTACCAAATTCAACACCTTATACCTCAGGAAGACATCACAGCTTATATTTCATTTGACAACGTCTATGGGTACATTTCCACCTTAGAACACTTCTATGCTATATTAGTCATCGAATATGGCTCTGAGGCTGCGAATCCACTTGCATTTAGTCCTCTAGCCTGCAGCCAATGACATGTAAATCTAGAAGAGGGTACTTCAGAACCAAGGTGGTATAAAAAGGGGAAGGAAACTATTAATTAACCAAGAGTCTACTTAAAACCAAAATGGAAGCCTCAATACTTGCAGGCGTTGGCAAGACTGACTTCAATCCAAAGCATGCTGTTTCCTGGCTCGAGGGACAGCCTGAAGAACTGCGACTATGGTGAGTCCAGACCAGTTCAATGGCACAACTGATTTTATATTCACACAAATATTTTAGGCAAGCCGTTTTCGAAGAACTTATACTATGTGCTTCGAGGCCGAAGCAATCTTCAGGAAATACTTGTGGGAAACTGTACGGCTTTGTTGAGCAATGCTCAAGGTCTTCTAAGCCCGTGCTGAGAAACTTTGCTTTCGCGGAGAGTACTGCTCTGAGGCTTTTCGACTTTTTCATGGAATGGAATGAACAAGATTCTCACCGATCTATGAGGCTAGTCCTCGATTTCCTCGTATTTTTTATATCCAATAACCCTGCACCAGAGGTTGGTGTGTCCGTCAGGGATACTATATTGAATAACACCATATCAACGATTACACAGCAGTCGTCTCGACCATCGGTAAAATCTGCTATCGCTGCTCTAGATCACTTCATCCAGAAGAAACTAGTATACTTATACAGTGTCTTAGAGATTTACAGAGAGATTAACAACCTTCCCTCAAATGAGACCCGCCTCTGGGATAGTTTCGTCGCCAAAATTTTCACTTGGATGGAGCTGCATCATATATGCTCCATAGCTGGAAAACTTCTTGTTACAATCTTCACTAATTCCTGGTTTGAGGATAGAGATGTTAGGCATAGCCCGGAATCCTGGCATGAGTTCATATATAAGGCCCTGCAGATGAATACGGATTATCTTGAGCCAATCAAACTTTACATCTTCGTACCGTTATTCAAGGCAGATCGAAATGGCTCCTTAATTTATCTTCAACGTCTGTATTCGTTGCAGACCCTCAATTGTCACGACAGCAATGGCTTAGATCACAATTCGATGCTATGGCTTGCTATGCTTGAAGCAGGGAAAAAGGTCGGGGTGGTGGATGACCCAGGTCGTGGTAAGTTGTTGTTCGTGGTAAACAGCTAAAACTGAAGGATTTCTGGCTAATAGATCTAAAGAGCCCGAGAAAAACTCTCAATCAACTTCTCAACTTCGAGCGGAAATACTTGAGAGTGTCTTATGCCATAACTCTTTTGAGGCGCGGTCCTCCGCCGTCTCTATTCTAATAGCGTCATCATCTACGACAAAGCCATACACTGCAGAAGCTCTAGAGCTACTCAAAAAACATCTACCGTCCTTCCACGAGGATTCTGACCCGAAGATGCGCTATGATGTTTTGGGTCATTCGCGAAATATGGTCAAACGAATCCAAAGTACGGTTGAGTCGCTACAGCGCGAAACCGAGCGAATCTCGAAGAAAATGAACAAAACAGGTGCGACCAAGATTACTCCTAAAGTATCACCAGAATCCAAAGACAGCCAACTCCAGAAGCATCAAGAGGTCACAATTGTAGAGCTTCGTGCCACGCTACGCCGACATGAAGACTTCATTTCCTGGTATGTTGGCTTTCTCAAGGATGAACTTGCTCCAACCACATCCTACCAGAGACATATCACTGCATTGAAAGCGATGGTGTATATAATTCAGTCACTTACACCACATGGAAACAATGCGGATATTTCTTATGAGTTAAGGAGTCTGCTCGTCGATACAATATGGTTCCGATCTGTCTTGGATCTCATCATGGACCCATTCGATGATGTAAGAGAGACCGCAGCTTTGCTGGTGATGTCGCTCTCACTCGAAAGTACGGATTCTAGTCTTGGAGGCCAGATAGTTAGGCTAGGAAGTACGCCTATCGAAGAACTTCGAAGCTTCTGCCGTAAAGCAGATGAACTTGCGCGGATGACAGCTCGCGCCGATCACTCCGATGGTGCTGCTCGATCATTTGAGCTCCTGTGTCGCTGGAGTACAAATACGGATCAAAAGTTGGCAATTCCCTTTCAGGTATTGTGGAGACTCGAAGGCAAGCTCTCTACAGCTAAGAAAGACTTGGCTACCGCGGTGCTTCAAGCTCCAATACATGGTAACTTTGCGTCTCTTCGGTGAGTAGTTTAGTCCAGTCCTTATAGATTACAGGTATAAATATTTGCTGACCCACAAAGCTATATATGGGCCTCGCTCTCACATGTCAAGTTCTCCGAGACGGACCTCAAGGTACTAGCAGGCTTGCAGGACCGTGTTATTTCGTGTTGCCGGAAAATATGGCGGATTGTGCGACACGTCCTCTGTGATGATTCTCCAGAGGGCCATCTCCCAGAGGAGCTCGAAGAAGTCGAAGGACTCGATACCAAGGACCTGCTTAGTTACAGTTTCCGAGCGATTCATGAATCAAGGTAAGACTCCAAAACCGTGTTATTTCTTGTACGGTATGGATTATATTTAATCATTGGTAGCAACTTGATGCGTACAATTGCAAATAATGCCCGTCAGAGCCGAGGACACGGACTTCTTGCACCTTCGAGGCAGAATTTTGAAGCGATTGGGAGACTAACATTTGATGAACTATCAAATTTGCGACATCGAGGTGCGTTTACAACTGTATCCCAGACGTTCACTAGCTGTTGTCAGCTTGTGAAATATTTCCCGGTCGAGTCGGATGACGTGCCCAGTCTCCTGGATGAGTGGTATACGGTTGGTGAAACTTATAACTTCTAAATGTGGGAATATGCTAAGATATCAATTAGGGGGCATTGAGTTGCATTCATACGCAAGCATCGACGACCCGAAGATCAGCAGGAATCCCAGCTCTCATCGTCGGCATATTATCCTCTGATGCGGAACGACCAACCTTCGAAGATGTTATTCGTAATCTACAAGATATTGGTGGCCAACCAGCGCTCGTGTCAGAAACGGATGGGTCGAACTTACCCCAAGTACACGCCTTGAATTGTATAAAGGATGTATTCAAGAGCTCGTTTTTAAGTAAAAGAGCAGAACCCTACCTCACCGATTGCCTTCAATTAGCAGCAAACAGCCTTAAATCTGAGGTGTAAGTGTATAATTATCAATATCTTATGGTTAGTCCTGAACTAATATAAACAGATGGGCAATCCGAAACTGTGGCCTTTTACTTCTACGAAGTCTCATCGATTGCCTCTTTGGCACAAGTGAGAGTAAATCGTCTATCGAAGCAGGTTGGGATGGGCGAACCATCAAGATCTCTTATCACAAGTTTAAAGCTCTTCCACAGCTGCTCGTGAGCCTTCTAGAGATGGGTCAGCAATCCACAGGCGTCCTGATGGGAAGTCAAACTGCGGAATCTGTATTCCCAGCATTGGATATCATCCGTCGAGCTGGACCTCCGGAGGAAGTTCGCGACAAGCTTTATAGCATCATTGCATGGTATCTAGGAAGTCGCATTTGGCATGTCAGAGAAATCGCTTCCCGCACCTTGTGCTCCTTTCTCTTAAAACCAGGCTGGACAGAATCCATTGGCAACCTCCTAGAAAACTGTGGAAGCTCCGCAAACAAGCTTCACGGGGTGCTTCTAACGCTTAAGTTCTTGTTAGAGAGACTCGCCGAGGTGATGCCTGACCAGCTTTCGGGTGAGTATATTTTAGTATGCCTTTACAATTCTGAACTAAGAGTTTTTAGGTCATGAGATCCGAACTGTACAGAACCTCCTTGGGGGACTATTAACCGACGGACGCATCAACGCATGCTCGGAAGTAAGAGTAGTATATGTTGAAGTCATTAGCTTCATCACTAGACTGAACCTGTCGGGAGTGGACGTTTCCATTGAGTCGTTCGATAATCTAATGCCCAAGGTTTTCGCACTTAGCGATCGGCCAGACACAGGCATAACACCATCAGCATTGCTAGATATCGGACTCGGAGAAGCAGCGATTCAACATGCTTTGCGACGACCTAGCACAGAAGGAAGGCGTGTCATAGCACATATTTTGAAAGCTAGTCTGAAAGGCGATATGAACGTTACCTGTTCCATACTAGAGAGCATATCTACCCTTGGTCCATCACTGTCCAACGAAACACGACCTGGCCTCGTTGATGCATATATACAAGTATGCCTCGAGACCGATGCCCCCGAGCCGCGCACGATAGCCTTGGAGAACCTTGCGGATCTTCTCGATGGGATAATGCGAGATACCTCTAGTGAAGGGTCCAATCATCTTCCCCCGAACAAGACCACAAAACAGCTATGGGCAGATCTCCTTGGGAAACCGATGAATCCAAGTTTATCGGACGCCATCATCCGCATAAGTGGACCGTTACTGGCAATTGCCCTCTCGCAAGAAGAAAGGGAAGCCTGGGATAGTCTAGAGCCGTGGGTTCGGTCTTGGGGTGTAATGATGGGCGACGCCGGAATGGCGGATAGGGTAAGTCTAACAATATTCCTAGTTCTCCCTTCCATACGTAATATAAAAAACTCATTTCTACACAGACGTTCGACACACGCATCGCAGCCGCCCAAGCGATGCATTCTTTCTCCACGAGCTTGAACTTCGACGCTCCGGATAATCCCCTCGACGTGGCACATCTGCCCTGGCTCCTAGCCCTCTACGACTCTCTCAACGACGACGACGACGAGGTCCGCGCCGCCGCAGCCCTAGCCGCAGCACCCCTACTCTCGAACCAACGGCTCGTCTCCGTCGAAGCGGGCCGGCGGCTCCTACGCCGACTCCTCGCATGGTACGGCGCGGCCGACGAGTTCAAAGCGTACGTCGCATGCCGCATGACCGGCCACAACGTCCCTCCTAGCACCTCTTCTTCTAGCAGCGGTAACGTCCCAACCTCCAGCCTCCTCCTCTCATCCTGGACCCCCGCCTCGGCACAGCTCGCGGAAGCCATGCGCTTCGACGACTCGCTGTTCGTCATCGAAGAGCAGAACCTGTACGTAGACGAGGTCCGCGAGGCGCGGCGGTGGAGCGACCTATTCTCTTCCCTTCCCAGCCCACCAACACCACCTTCATCATCATCACCTTCCTCCTTCCCGTCCCCCTCCTCCTCCTCTTCTTCTTCGCCTTCGGCGGCGGAAACCGCGCTCTCGCAATGGATCCTAGCAGGCCTGCAGACGCTAACTCGGCTCGCGCGGTCGGAGCCACGAGACGGCCCGCTGGGCTGGACGTCGAAGCCCGAGGTCTTCGCCATCTGCGCGCGGGTTCTGGTCGGCGGCGCTGCGCTCGCCAAAGCGGGAAGAAACGCGGAGGTAGGCGCGGCGCTGCGCGGGTTCCGGGACGAGGGCCGGAGGGCGGATGTTCATGGGCTGTTGCTTGGGATGGGTGATGGGTTTGAGTGAGTGAGTGAGTAAAACAAGAGTCTGAGAAAAATGACATGAAGAGAAGGAGGTTGGAGTTGGCGAGATCTACTTGGATTCTGCTTACGTCTTTAACACATTCATCTAGGTACATGCGTATAGACTCGATATACTTGTGTTTTATTCTATGCCAATGCTAATGATATTGATACACTTCATGACCTCGTCAATCTCATCCTTTCGTTCCTTTCGTACGTTACTAGTATCCAAAGACAGACAACCCAACTCTACCTTAAGTAGGTAACGAGCTCGCGCTCAGCCCCTTTTTACTAATTCAAGGTCTGGCCTCCCCGATCAATGCAATTCGTATGGCGGCGCCATGTTCAAGTCATTCCGTCGCAATGGTATCGTGCGCGTTTGTGTCCATTTTTCATCTTGTCGTATCAAATACGGGAACCCCCGTGTATGTTCATCCACCTTCATCTGCAGTCCCCGTTGCTAGTATGTACGCACCTCCCATCCAACCTACACCCTTTCCCATATTCCACCCCAATCTTAAGCCTTCACGGGCGTCTGGTCCGTCATAGCTCTCTTTAAAGGAGACGGGGTCCTAGTCCCCGCCGAGCCCTCGCCGTCCAGCGATATCCCCTCGCGGCCCAACCTAGCGACCAGCATCGTGTTCTGCGTCTGGAGGTCGCCGATCTGCTCCTTCAGGATCTCCATCTGCTTTCGCGCGATGTCGCGCTCCGCCCGGACCTTATCCAACTCCATCGCCATATTGCTCTTCTCTTCTCTCTCTAACGTCTTTCTCCTGCGTTCCTCGACCTTCTTCTGTTCGCTGTTGCGCTTGGCCTCGAGCTTCTTTACCTCTCGCTGATATTTCTCCTGCTGCTTGGCTATCTCGCGCTCGTGTTTCTCGCGAAGCTTCTGTAGGGCTGCTTCTTCGCGTTGGGAAGAGGTGGTGTCCGATGTACTGCCCCGCTTCGCAAGTGCTTTTTCCTGTGCGCGCCGCAGTTTTTCTTCTGTCTTCCGTTTGCGTTCCTCGAGCTTTTTGAGTTCCTTGTCGTGTTGTGATGTCCCGGTCGAGCGAGCAAGGGAGTCGGTGGAGCGCGTGGATTCCGCGCCACCATTTGTGACCGACGGCGTAAGTTGGGTCGAACTTTCTTCTGGCTTAGATGACGAGCCGTCGTTTCCTTCTATTTCTTCAGCTTCCAGGCTATGAAAGCTGCGAGTTGATGACGCATCATCGTCGTCCAGAGATTCAGAAAGGTCGGAAGAACTCATGTTGTCGTCGTTAACGGATACAAAAGGGTTAGGCATGTGAGAGGCTGCCGCCGAGGCCGCGGAATTAAGGGCATTTGATATCATACCATAAAATCCGGTAGGATTGGCTGGGTCACCCGCTTCGACTCTCTCGTCGACAGCTGATAGGAGTGGAGCACTGGGAGACCTAGTAAGATTCGCTGTAGAATTTGTCGAGGCTGATTTCTTAGAAGTATGCTCTTCAGCCATCTCTGCCTCCTGCTTAAGCTTCGTATCTTCATCGTCGGACTCGGTGAAATCATGAATAGACTTTGACGAGATCCATTTGACAAATTTGTTGGCGTCGCCGGCAATACCGGGAGGTGTACCTCTTTCGATCATGAATCGCGGTACACTGCCGCCAGGATCGCTTCGGGTAACCATTATCCATTCGACCATGGTATCGTAATCTTCCTCATTTTCTATGACATCGCCGATATCTGCATATCCGATAGTCCTACCTCGTCTCCTTCCCTCTCCATCTCTCGTAGGGGAAGCCGAGTCCGCTGCTTGCCGGGCTGAGCGAATAGAAGCCTGTCTACCGAGGTTCTCTGCAGCATTTCGTATTGATGCTGCGGACTCGTCATTAGGTAGATCTATCGATGACCGAGTTTTGCGGAGAGATTTCTCAACTCGGACTTCACGGATAAATTCGACTGATTCATATTGGCCGCGAATATAGCCCTGGCGCGGTGGACATTCTGGATGAACACACGGCTTTGAGACGAGCATGTAGTGTTTAGGCGTGCCAGGGACATCGATGGCTGAGTCAGAACTTAGCAATAAAGTAATGAAGTCCCGCGGCGTTGTTGGCCCTGGAAATTGTGCCGATAGTTGATAGACTAGCTCAAACGGTTAGCTGGGTCGGTGCCTCAGAAACGAGCTCTGTCCGATGATTAGACGGCAAAACGGTTGACCTACCTTGCATCTTGCCACGGCCTTCAATAATCTGATTCACAACCTTTCTATCGGCCCCGATACCTCTGATACTCCCATCGCCGGGCTTTCCTTGTACCTTCAAGCTCTCGTCGAGCTCTTTTTCCATGCCCAACTTCCATTTTTCAAAGGTAAGGATATCGTGGACGCTGCGTCTCGCAAACCACGCACCCTTTCCATCCTTCGCAGCGAGTTTATAGACGTCTAGACCTAGCGGGTTCTCGCGTGGATTGACCTTGACCTCTTTCCAGTCCTTCCGCAATTCCGACGCACGGTTCGACGATTTCGAAGATCTACTAGACAGGGAGGGAAGATTCGAATCGGTGGCTGACCGTGGCCTGCCTCCTTTCTGCGAGGATGTGGACGAGACGGGGATAGAATCAAGGATACACTGCGCGTCGTTGAATATCTCCTCCAAGAAAGTGTCGAGCTTGTCGTGGGGGATATCGTCCCAATTGACAGGGGCAAGGGCTTTGAAGACCTCGTGAGCACTCGGCATAGTCGATTGCTCTTGGGTACCAAGGTGAGTCGTCGTCAAGGGTCCTTTCGTAGGTGTCGAGGTATAAGAGAAGAACGCGGTGTGGTCTGAGGAGCAGTGGACGAGAAAGGAAACGAACTGAAGGCACCCAAACTGTGCGCGGGGCACTATTAGGAACGAAGATAATGATACACCATAGGAGTAGAAGGAATTAGCTGAGTTAGGAGGTTGGGAAGTAGGCAGCAAAAGATCGAGGGACCAAAAAATCACGAGGTTTAGGTGGGAATTAGTGTGTGTATTTCGGGAGTTACAGTAATTATCTTGGCCTTTCCTTTGTTTTCTTTACTTGGGTTTAATACTCTGATAGAATATCCTTGACGTCACATTTGCACCTATCCAGACTTGTCCCCGATTCACTGTTACACGAGCAAACGCCGTTCTAACCGTCCGTGCTACTCTCCTAAGTGCATACGTTGCCATTAACAGGGATAGCCACGTGCGATAAGAATCACATCTCCCCACTCTGCAACGGAGCTGAAAGTTGCCCGTGTTGCCGAGGCTCAGCCCGATTGGAATGAACAGTTGAATCATTACAGGCCTCTATCAAGCCTGTGCCACAAGTTACAAATGCAAGTAATTGATGACTCTACAGCAATTCGAGTTGTCTTAAAGTGAGATATGGGCATACTATTGATGTAAGAGGCGCTTGCAATATCATCCCTTACGGCTACCGGGATATGTGGATCATCAAAGCCTTGTCCTAAGATCAGTATATGAATTCGAGCTATTATTATTCATCTCGCCTCATGTATATTTGCCCAAGTTTCTGTCGTGTTGCTTATATCTTACTAACCCTAAGCCTTACCCGAAACTAGCCGACCACATCCCATTCAAGTTAGCTAGTTAGTTAGTATATAAGCAGTCACAGAAATAATTTCGACATGCAGTACTCTACTGCGAAAGAACCTCGAAGGGTCCCATAGCTCAGTTGGTCAGAGCGTCGTACTAATATTATCCTATCTCACATAGGAAATGTTAAGTAATGCGAAGGCCGAGAGTTCAAGCCTCTCTGGGACCAGTTTCTTTTTCTCTTGCTTTTTACAATCCTCTCGAATAAGTGCACTTTATCAATTAATTAGAAATATTGCCTGGTAATGGTTTGATAGCCATAAAAGGAGTAAAGAGTAAAAATCTTTTTGCAGATGTTTCCGAACTTTTTAACAGTATATGGTAGGTTATCCTGTTCTGTGATTTAGGGCTGCACTGGTATATAGATAGAGAACAATAGCGTTCCCCCTTCATACATCGCTTTTTACAGCAACGCGCGGGTGTGAATGCAGCCCGATGGTGAGATAAAGGGCGCTGTTGGACCCTGTGGTGCTCACGTGACACTTGCGCGATAACCTGTAGTTTCTCCTTGGCATTCTTTGGATAGATGACTTGAATAATTCTGGTGAGCGTTAATAGGACTGCGTAATGACATATCTAATCATGTTCTATCCATAAGAAAGACTCTTTAGACATCTCTAAGTACCTAAGTAGGTACCTAAGAGGTATGAATACGTGCGACCTCTATCACGTCTCGAAGTCCTATAGCACGACTGATCTTGAAAACATACACACTAACAAAGCTACTAGGTAGGTAACCGGGTATTCATTCCTATTACAATCATATTTATCCCCTACTAGGTACCTACTTAGTAAGTACTACTAGACAATATACTTGAACCTAATGCTTGCTTCATACATATGGTACAACCTTTTCCTTCCCTCTCTTTTCTATCAGCTATGCTGTGTGTATGTATGTATACCCACCTCCCTCGCCCCGTGAGGAGCTCGCAGCGACCTTATGCTTATACACATTTTTGTTTTGTTTCCTCTCCTTTACTCTCCTGATTCGTCTTTGAATCTTATATTTGCCTCTTTTCTTTTCTTTTCTTTCTCGCTTTTCTACTTCCCACTTCCACTCCCCCCTTACAAATCTTCACCTCCGCCACACGACACCACCCCACACCACATCACATCTACCAAGCAACCATACCAGCCCCCAAACTCTCCCGCTCCCTCTCCCGGATCAGCGCCTCGCGATCGGCCTTACAGCTACCGCAGTACTCCTCGTGCCAAATCTGCAAGTTCCTCCTCTTCGCCTCATCCCTCTCCCTCTCTTTCTCCTCCTTCTCCTTCTCCCCAGCAACACCTCCTTTCTTCCCCTTAATAACCTCCTGCTGCTGCTGCTGCCCCCCCGCAACCCCATCCCTCGTCATCCACCCCCTAATCCCGCCCCTCTCCGCGCCGGCGGCGCCCTCGTCATCCCACCTCGCGAGCGCCGCCTCGACTTGCTCGCAGCGGTGGTTCTCGTCGAGCAACCAATTCTCCCACTCCGCGTGCATGACCTCGCGCTCCACGCTGTTGACCGTGCGCATCGCCACGATGAGGTCGTGCCGGTAGCTGCCCAGCTTCTGCCGAGTCTGCCTGAGCCTCCTCGCCGTCGCGCGGCTCGAGCTCCACGCCAGCGCCGCGCCCGCCTGCTCGCTCGGCGCGTCCGCGTCCGTGCCGTTCGCGATCGACCGGAACGTCGAGTAGCAGTAGCTGTCTTCGGGCCACGCTTGCAAACCCGCCGAGCCGCGCGCCGCCTCGTCGAGGTCCGCGATGTAGATCGCCTTGCTCATCACCACGTTCGGGCCGACGCCGATGCGGTTCATGTAATTGACGGCGCTCCGCTCGCTCCACCACGTCGACGCGCCTTGGCCCGAGAAAACGACGTTGGTGAACATGCTGAAGGCGAGCAACCCCAAAATAATGTACTGCGCCGTGATCACGTCCCAGAGCTTCTTGATTGCCGCGAACGTCCACATCATCAGCGAGCTCGCCACGCTGTCCGCGAACGAACGAAGCGTTTCGAGGAGCATCTGGCTGAGTGTGCGCGGGTTGATTTGTGTCTTCTTGGCCATGTCCGCTTCGTTGGGTGTGAACACTAGCGCCTGTGTCTGCTGTCCGACGTTTCCGTAGACTTGGATCGCTCGCTTCGTGCGGCTGTGGTGGCCGAGCTTCCGTACCTGATCGGTCGCGAGTTCGGCGAGGTCTTCGGCGCTTTGGGTGGCGTCGTCTAGAGCTTGCTGCTCGACTAGATTCTTGGCGAGGGCAGGTGGTTTTGTCCACACGACTTTTGTGAATATGGCGAGCTTGCATTTCGACTTGGCAACGTGGGTAATGACTATCTTAGACACCAATTTAAAACCGTGGGCGTGAGGAAGATGCCACGGTGTTTTGGTGTGAGTAACGACGTAGGTGACATGATCGCTGAATAATTCGATTGTCTGTTCGTCCGTGTGCTCCTCTGCTTTCGTGCGGCCTAATCTCGTGGTATAGTTGATACTAAAACTAAACTGTCTCTGCATGTTCCCTGCATCGTTCAGCTTCCAAGGACTCTGAGTGACATGCTGAGCCCTGGTCTCAAAATAGAGCTTGGGAAAGATGAAACTTTTGTCTCCAAATAAGACGTGGAAACAGGCTTTGGCGCTGATTTCGAAATTCCGCTCCGCGCACTTCCTTTGCATGCCTTCAGGTTCGTAGATTACTGGGTGAGTCGGAATTTGGAACTTTGGAGGTGGCTTCCGTGAACTCTTGCGGCGTGACTCGTAGGCTTTATCATGGTTTCTAGGACTAACTGCTCTACCCGCCGCGGTGCCATCGTCAAGAGGGGTATGTTCTGAGATTTCCTCCCAGCTGTCCATACTTGGACTTTTTCTGTCTGGTCCTCCTTTCTCTAGATCGATGAGAGCGCTGATGAGTTCAGGTACATCCATAGGTTCTTCGGCTTGCAGGTCATCGACTAGAAGGTTTAAACGCGCATGTAGAAGATCAAGATCCTCGAGGAAAGTCTTGATTGTAACCCGGGTGTATCCGATGACATCTGTACCCTGGTTCAGGTGAAGGAAAATGAAATCGCAGTCTCTGCCAGGGGCAGCTGTCACCTCTGAGATAGTGTCGAGGCTAATCGTATACGTCACAACAAGATCCATCTGATGGCCGTAGAAGTACATATTATCCGAGGTGACGTAGACTCGTCCGTTGCCAGCCATCGTAGGTATAGTAGGATCGTCTTCTGAATTACTAATCCAGGAAGCGCGAAAGACGAGGACCAACTTCTCATCCAATGGTACGTTCGGGAAAAGGAGACGGAACTGGGCCGAGTTCGTCTTTAGTTCTATGGGATAGTTGGGCGGGAAGGATTCTGGGGGCGGTTTCTCCGCAGCAGGTTGAGCAGCCTTCGCCTGGTTCATCCTAGCATCCATACTGATAGCTTTCTTATGCGAAGATGGGCTCCTAGCCTCTTCACCCTCGCCGACCGGAACCATCTTGATAGTAGGCGAGTTAGGCCCAAACGGATCTTCAAGTTCCACATCACTCCGGCTGGCTCTGGAGTATTCTCGACCCCAAGCATTGCTTCCCCAATAATTGGCTAAGATAGCAGTCGGCAAATTCTGTGAAGAACTCGATTTAAATACTCTATCCCCACTATAAACAACGACTGTCTTACTAAGACTGGTCGTTGCCGGTGGCTTCGCTAAAGTGGGTGGCGCAAGACTGCCGGGTTGTGCTTCTGGGCCCGGCATTGGCTGCGAAAGCTTGGAACCTGCTCCGGTATATGCTGGCAACAAGCCGTGGCTAGCAGATATGAGACCAGCAATTCCTGCGCTTGACCCAGGTGGTGGCACAGGTCCCGTATCCAAACCTGAAGTGAAAGCTCTCCTATGAAGGTCGAGTTTCTGCATAATCCTTGCAGCATGTTCCCGACTACTTTCGCCTTCCTCGCGAGCCAAGGACGTAACAGATCGTTTAGGAGGGGCTGTTGTAAGGTCAAAGCTCGGTCTTGGTATTAATCCAGCTTCGGGTGCAGGGACTGCGAGAGACCCAACCCGGTCGGCGTTGGCTCCGTCCTCGATCTGCGCATCCAACGCTTTCGCTGAGAATTCTGGAAGCGAAGGAGGCGTTATAGAGAAGGCCGGATCGACGCCACCTGGTAAAGATGAATTATCCCTGCTGACGCTAGCTTCAAAAGCCTTCTTCTTTGCGACTTCGAATACCTCGAGCCATTCCATCAGCTGAGCTTGGGTTTCGGCCTGCAGTAGCAGTGTCTGATTCTTGGTCTTGACCTCGAAACAGAACCGACGTTCTTCTGCAACGGAAGGTTTCACATTGCAGAGAAGAACACCGATCTCGTCACCCTGCAAGACACCCTGAGGACTGTTGACAAGCCAACCGAAGATACCGTCCCTACAATAGTACCATCTTCGAGTCCAACTGGTTCTGGAAGGCTTGCCAGTTATCGTCCGCAAATATAGCCAACCCTGCTTTTCCATAATCGCTGCGGATTGTCCGGCAGCGGTGACGTTCAAGGGGCCTTTGGACCCCAAGAATGGGACGGTTGATGCGCTATAGTCTTCGATCTCCCGCGATGGCTTGACCGCTGCCAACGCGCTCTCCCCAATGTCACTGCGTGCTAACTGTAACTGCCGTCTGAACGTAGGCTCGGATAGTTCCATTTCCTTTGCCCATCCCCTCACCCGATCCATCTCGTGGCCGTATTTTCCGAAGCTTCCTGCGGCATCCCGCGACTTCTTCATCTCGCGCCAGAGATCGTAAGATACTTGCACGATTAGCTTGTCGAGGTTGATTCGGAACTGGGGCGCATAGAAGCAGAAATCCATGGAGGCCTTTAGGTAGGCCTTCCGGGTTTCGTATACGGCAAAAGCGTCTTCACGTAACGACGAGGGCTCTTTTGTCTTGGACTGGCTCACGTAGCGAGCCAGGGTGGTGTCGAAGGCCTTCTGTGTTTGCTCTAATGTCCTCCTAGCTTCTTTGAAATTTCTCAAGTCACCGTGGAGGAAATTCCGAATCGGCTCGACCGACATTGAATCCATTTGCTTTGCAGCGCCCAGGATCTGCATCCACCATTCCCTCGAGCCCTCACTGAACCTCTTAAGCGCCAGGGCGGCATAGTCGTTGTCTACATTGTTGATATAAGGAGGCGGGATGATCTTGGCTAGGTAAGTATGGATAGTCTCCTCTAGCCCTAACAAGTCATGAGATAGCTTCGCGGTCGTCCTTACGTAGCTCTCTAGCCACCGTTCGATAGAATCTACTTGTTCGGAAAAATATAGGGCGGAAGATCTGAATGAGGGCGAATCGAGCCCTGCTTCATGGAGGACGACCGGAACTGAAGGGTTCTTATGTTTGACCGAGGGAGGTGTCGTGGTGGTTGGTGCCGCCGCCGCAGGAGCAGCGGTGGCCATTTTTTCTGATGACATGAGGGCTAAAGATTTGGCGTTATTATTGCATTAGAGTATCGATTAAAGGTTTCAATAAAGTATGGACAATGATCATAAAATCGTAAAGAATCCTGTTGATTTCGTTCGTAGCGTGTTTGTTTAACTGTAAGTTCAAGCTTGATACTCGACTCGACTTGCTCAGCCGACGCACCTTTCGTCGCTTGACCGATGTTGTTTCGTCCAATTGTCATACGACTGCGCTGTCGTACATGTAAAAACTCGTGTTAGCTCTATACGCCTTCTAGTCTGAGACTCTGAGGCACGCCATGCCGAGCTTCACAAGGAAAGATGTGTAGAATTGGCTAGCAACATGGCAGCCTGGGACATTTAACAGATAGGAGATTAGGATCCATACAAAGCGCTGACATCAGAAACGTCAAAGGCGATGCAACGGCGCTGTAAATTAAGCCCATTACTTGCAACTAACAGGACCAGACGGGACCAAGCTAACCTATCTGAGCTCTAGCTTCAAACCCTGCTCGTTGGAACTTAAGACCTTCCTTATCTTATCGATAACTAAGACGTCATGGGATGGGACGGAACCCTGATGCGCCTTCGAGGCACGCCACCTTCGTCTAATTCCGAGACGGCTAACAGTTACAATTATCAATTATAAGGTTGGTTAGATATTTTGTATAACAATTGACATTCTCTTATATTATTTACCGTTGTCTTTACTAACCCTTGGGACATTTATAACATATACCTACTTAATCAACTAGCATTGCATAAATATTGTATACATCCTTCTATATTATTAACCTCCCTCCGGTTTCCTAAACATGACTGTGTCCAAGTTCAAGTTCGCGCCCGTCGAGTCTTGCTGCACCTGTGCAACTCTCCTTAGCAAAGTCCCTCGATATAGCATCTCGGAGAAGCCTCTACCTCAAGATCGCGAGTTAGAGTGCTGTCGAAGAGTAATATGCGGACACTGTCGTAATGTGCGTCAAGCGTTGGTCGAATATTCATGAGGGCCATGAGTTAGTTTATGGGGTCAACTGACCGTCGCGAACAGACCAACCCTCGCTTCAACACCTACTGCCCCTACTGCCAGATCTCAATAACAGACACGAGTCTCCCCCAAGGCTTGAAAGATCCCCCTTCGTACGAATCCTCGATCGCAACTAGTTCCTCCAAAGCCGATTCGGCAGCCCCGCCACCTTACATGCCTCCCGTAAACCAAATGACCCCAGACCCGTTAGATGAGAAGTCTGTCCCGCTCGACTCTTCCGAGCCGGCGGAGGATACCTTGCACTTCCTAGACCACGCACACGATTCCATTGCCTCATTATCCCTTCGTTACGGTGTCCCCGCATCCGCCCTTCGACGCGCGAACAACATAACAAGTGACCACCTCATTCTAGGTCGACGGACCGTGATAATACCCGGGGAATATTACAAAGGGGGCGTGAGCCTGTCACCGCGGCCGATCGAGGGTGAAGAAGAGGAAGCTCGGAAATCCAAGATACGACGTTGGATGGTGGCGTGCAAAGTCCACGAATACGACGTTGCCGTCCTCTATCTAGAGCAGGCTGCATATGACCTTGAAATGGCAACCGAGGCATTCTTTGCGGATGAGGCGTGGGAACGAGCGCACCCCGTTGAAGCAGCAAAAAGAGGCAAAGGAGTTGCTAAACGTGCAAACAGTAGAAGTGCATTTTGGAGAGGACATAGGTAATAGAGAATTCATCAACTGATTGTAAATGTTGTCCAAGTAGACTTGGGGGTTTGGCCTCTTTGGATTGTACATATAAGTAGGTATCACATGTGCATATTTCGCATCTAGGGGGCACCAAGGTATTCATAGAAAACCCACGAGAGGCTTAGTTTCAATGGACATTTACACTGACCATTTTAATATTGTGTCTTGGTATCGGGATCCGAGGGAATCTCTCTGCAGATATAATAATGATGGGTGACTCCATTCTACTCCATGCGCCGTTACCAAACCTTTCATCAAAATGCCGATCGAGTTCGTACATCCTAATCATGTCAGCCCAATATTCCAAGTTCAAGAGGTCTAAGGCTTCACTTACAGATATTTTCCGCTCAATTTCACGGACTGAGCGATCTAACTCTCCTGCGATCATCTGCTTTTTATCGCTAGGGAGCAATGTGAACCTTTCACACAGATCCCCATCAATGACACCTTTAACAGGAGCATAGTAGCCCCTGTATATTAGATGATCTCGTCCGGCAAGGGGCGGATCCTCCGATCGCATATGCGATTCGAGGCTCTGGAAGAAATCCGCATCTTCTCGACTAAGAAACGGGATAAAGACGCCGATGGTGCCTTGTATTCCGCTCCAGAGAAGTACGTCTTGTCCACCTACGACGAGATTCGTTTTGCTTATACTGGTGGGAACATCTTGGGTGAAAAAATGTGACATGAGACTCACGCGATGGTTGGAACCATGCAGATATTCTCTGGCGTGTTGTAGATGCGCACCAGTTCCGTCCTCGTCCGCTTCTTCGCTTGCCTTCTGCGGACATCGCACGATCCAAATGTTTCCAAATTTGTCTCCACCAGCAACAGATTCGTAGTCCACCATAGCCGTGCAGATTGTCCAACGGGGTACGGTATCATCGGCAAACGGAATTAGCTTGTTGCTTTCGTACTTGTAGACGACATATGTAACTCCTTGCTGCACATCACCGACGATAATGCGGCTGCCTTGGGTTTGTAATGAAACGATAAGTTGAGGAGCGACATCAGCTTGCGACTTTCGAAGAAGCTGCCGAAGTCCGAGATCGTAAACACGGAGAGTCTTGCCGATTCCTGCCAGTAGACGGCCTTGGAATTGAACCAGCGCCATCGGGGGTTCTTCCACCTTGGTCTTATGAATAAATTCGATCTCCTTGCCGTTATCACGGAACCTGTAGACATGTATGAATCCCGCGCTGAACTGGCGGGGGCTGAGGATCATGTCTTTTCCGGTACCAACTACAAGGAACGTCTCGTTGTCTTGGCTTGCGAAGGAAACTGTAGCCATACTGACAGCGGCCTCGTTATCGCTCAGTTCTAATGTTTGTAGAACTCGCTTCTCCACCAGCGGATCTACGACACTGATACAAGACGCCCATCGACCTCGTCCCCTAGGATACCCGAACTCCTCAGGTGGCAACACGGCTGCATCGCCATTAACGACGGCCGGATCGGCAAGTAGTTGAGCACGCAATTCGGGTGGCAATGTGTTGTTGTCAGCCTCAATAGTGTAAAAGTAGGGTTGTTCAGGGTGTTTGGCAAGGCGTCTAGGAGTGTATGTAAGTGGTATCGACTGTTGTAGTAGCGTGTCCCCTAAGCGATCTATGGAGAAAATCCTGTTGTTATTAGCATCCCATCTTTTCCACACTGCTCGAGTTTAAATGGGAAGTATTTGAAGTTCAGTAGGAACAATTGGTATATGCGTAAAGACCTCATAGCCATGGCATCGGATCCTTTTTTCATCATTCTTCAAATCAGACAGATTTAGAGAGTTCACTTACTTGAGATTCTGGCCCTGAATTCCCACCATACCTTCTTCACACTGTTCACTGCTGAAATTCCATCCCCACTCCAGATCACTATAGTCTAGTGGCGTCATCATGAAGCCCTTCGTGATAGGATCCGAATAGCCTAACCAAGTCCTGGAACTAAGGGCTAGGACACAGGTACTACCCTCCACGGAGGTCTGGAAAAGGCGTACGGCCTTAGGCCCGAGAAACTTTTGGCGGGTATCGGTGAGTTCTCCGGTCACCTCATCTAGGACAGTTCGCAGATAGACGCCTGAATGCAGACCAATGTGGAGATATAAGGTTGAACCACCGAATGATGAGTCTTCCATAGCCATGATGGACAATGCAGACGGAGCTGCAGTCAGAGCCTGCACAGATTTACTCTCAAGTGTGGATTCGAGATCCAGACTTAGGATTCGGACTGTGCAGTCATCACATCCAACGGCCAGGAATGAGCTTCGTAAACGACCTTCCGGAACTTCACCTAAACTTAAGCAGGTGACAGTTCCGAACATCTCCTTCTTTTCATCATATTCGGCCAATGACCCATCATCAGCCATCTCAAAGTAAACAATTTCACCTGAACTTAGAGCAACCGCAACTTGGCGCTCATTAGTAGAAGCCGCAACAATGGATCGATGAGTAGGCGCTTCCCATTCATTCACGCGCCCATTTATGATATGTCGGATGCCCTTAGGGTGAACTTGGAGAAGGCCATCATCACCGAGTTGTTGAACGGCGAGTGTTGGGACCGTTGAAAGGAATCCGGTATCAGTCACCTCTTCAACAGTTTCGCCAATGCTGAGTACCAAAGTGCCGTTGCTGAAAGAAAGCACAATGTACGCATCATACTGGTCAGATCGGTTGAGCTTCGTAGTCCAGACGGCAGATGGAACTCCAGGAAGTTCCGAGGCAACTATTTCATTGACTTCTAGGCCGTGCTTTAGGGTCCTAAACGTACTTCGCGCACCATTTCCACAGAGAGAGTAGATTTGCGGCGCGTCTTCGCCAGTGAGATTCGCGACCTTACAATCAACTAGGGGATTCATCGAGTCGATGCTCTCAACCAGACTCAGATTTTCCGCCGGTCTGGGGTAGAAGTAGACAGGATTGTATGATGCCTGAGGGTCAGTTGGGAAGTCATCACTACTGAATTCCAACTCGTTGTCATCGTCACCTAGCTTTTCAAACTGGTAGAAATGATGGTTCCCGAACTCACTAGCAACAAACAAGAAACCGCTCTTTAAAATGCAGAGATTTGTAGAGACTGGGACGGTGTCAAAATACTTGATTTTGAGCCTACGCACTTCTCCAGTCGGTTTCTCGTCGTCATCTTGAGCCATGTCGATGGTGACCTTAAACAAATCACCGTCTTCCGTCTGGAGAAGAAAGAAGAATGCGCCAGCACTCCCTTTCAGTTTGTGCATGACACCTGATACAATCGAGCGCTTCCTCTGGGGATCTTCTGTCGCGCCCTTCCGTCTTGGGATTGGCACCCGAAATGCCTCCTGGTTAGAGTGTCTGTACGTGATATTCTCCTCTCCGCATACTAGAACACCACTAGGTCCATCATTGCCTCCGGGAACTTGAAAAAGTATCGAGGCCGTAGGGTCGACTGGTTCATGCCATTTTCTGACGACGTGGTTCAGACCAAGATCTAGCTCATAGTACACAAGCTGGGTCTCGACCTCCGTAACAGCTTGCCCTGTTGGATCTTGGTCTACCTCCGAGTAATCGACTTCGAGCGCTGCAAATACTGGATTCGCATAGCCAACATCCAAAGACACCATTGATAGAACGACTGTTCCCGGTTTATGCGCCTCCAGGGGCGAAGAAATAGTAAGCTCTGCTTGAGCATTGCGGTTTAGGACGTAGACTAATTTGTTCTTCTCAATCGACGCGATGAGACAGGCACGGCCTTTAGGATCGCAAGCTAGGTACTGGCCTGGGACGACTCGGCGCACACCCGACTTTCCGAATGTCTCCAGCTTTTGCCTTTTGAATCGATTCTGCTGCGGTATGTACTCGACTATAGCAATACGGCCCGAATCGGTGGCAAGTATAATATAATCTATTAACAAAATGATCAGCCAAATTCTAGATGTATGATAATCCCATAAGTGCCTGGACGTCGCACCGTGTATCAAGGCGGCAGCCCGAACGATTCTAGTGTTCTAGTGACCGAGCTTCAAAATCACTAAGTGAAGCTTCACAAGTAGGGTTGTATGCAGAACTTACCCTTATTGCTTCCCGCCAGACGAAAGGAGGCTATGGATCTTATAATGCCGAAGACATCGTGAGAGAGAAGGGTGATAACCTTCCCTTGGGATGGTTCTGGACGGAGTAAAGTGAGTCGAGAACCCGAGGCTGTGACGATTTGTTGTTCTCTAGTACCAGAAAACTGGCCAAGGAGGGCTTGAGTTATTGTCGTGGGAGGTTGGATGGTAAGCGAGTAGAGAAACATATTAGAAGTAGTCGCCATCTTCGCAGCGAGTGTGCAGGAAGCCTGCGCGACTCTTCCAATTCCTCTATCTCTTTCTTGTTATTTTCGAGAGGTTGATTGTGAGTGTTGTATCGTCGCGTATGAAGAAGCTAGAGCTCCAAAAGTTTTTGTTAAGATTGATGGAGCTCTGTGCTGATTGGAGAAAGCACCTTCCAAGCGTTTGGTTCGTTGTAATCTTGCACTCTCATTGGACGTCGAAAGCTCCTGTGGGGCACTATGAGGGATCAATCTTTATCCGTCATAGTTTTTAGACCTTGGAAGGCGGGACTCTCAAGCTATTTGGTACACTGCCAAGTACCTGTAGAGCGCTATACCTGTTCTGTATTAGCTGATTAGATCTGACGATTTCCAATTCCGAGAATTCAGATGTTTCTATAGGAGCCATAAAGTTGCTTAGTTCAGTTGCAACCTTGGAATTTACAATTACGACCTGCGCAGGCCTTTCTTTACGGAGCCTGAATGATGGAGCCTTCAGTTCGTCTGGCAGCTTCAAATGCTTGCCGGGCATGCTTAAGGTCCTCAGCGGCACATGCATCTCGTCCACCCATGACGAGAGCGTTCTCCAAAGGCACCTCCCCGCGCTCATTGCGACAGCCGAGCTCTTCTAGTCGACTTACACATTCGAATCGACCCATCCCTCCCACGCAGACCAAGGGTAGTCTCTCAAGGCCTTTGTCCTTATTCGGTCAACAGGCGAAGGTAGCCGAGGATGGTTCGGCTGGACAGGGACCAGCTGCAACATACGAGGACAGATCGAGGCCGCCCATTCTCCGCCCCGACGATCTGTTTCACTCCTTTACCAATTCGCCCATTCCGGAGATACGGCGTCGCGCTGCGTTTATAAGACAACATGGACGTTGCCCGCACCCAGACCATAGTCCCACAGGCTCCGGGGCTCCGGCCCACGTCAACTTCGAATGTCCGGATTGTGGGATTCCTGTCTATTGCAGTGACCGACATTGGGCCGAGGATTACGAAGCCCATCTACAAATATGCGATACGTTACGACAAATTAATGAAGATGACCATGACCTTCGCTCTGGCAGATTCTTTCCCGAATTCGAGTACGCGGGGCCGCAAATAGAAGAAGCTGCCGTCAACATGACCAATTGGGATACCTTCCTATATACGAGATCATTCGAGGCTATCAACGATGACCGGAACATGCGACAAGTTACTAGACTGCTAACATATCCGGTAACAATAGGTAGCATCCTCCACGAGCTTAGCCCCTATAACATTAGGAAAGGTGGCAGGCTCACACCTGAGGGCTTAAAGAGTTTAAGCGCTCTGAGATATACCTTGCACCCGCCCATGTCCGGTGGCGGAGAGGACATCAAAGGACTGCGGCCTGAAGCGCCTCCGGTGAGAATATTCATACTAGGTGCCCGCGCAGAATCATCTCTACCTCGGAATGTGTGGGTGCAGCTAGCTCACCTCTTCCCTCGAGGAAAATTTCATCTGATCTTCATTGGACCTGAGAGCATGGCCAATCGAGATGACGAATTCCCATTGCCGGCTCGAACTCCTTCCAACCCTTTTGGTGCTATAGTGGAAGACCGAGTGTGGCCGACAATGAAGATTAGCACCATCGTGGATTACTATCATACTCTTCACAAGACTGGTCAATTCTACCCATATGACCCCTATTTTGACTGCTTTGTCATGTTCCATCCAGGCTTGGGACATCCGGCTAGTTCCCATGAGTGGGCGGAAACGGTACCGTTGCTTCTTGAGACGAAGGCACCAATTATCGTAACGGGTTATACGCAGTATGACATGGACAGGGATATAGAATGGGTGAGGAAAACTTGCAGTGGCGAGTTTGATTTACTCATGGAACCTGGCGAAAACATTTTCAGAAGTTTGCGGTGGGATCTCAATGATCTAGATCCGCAGGATATCAGCTGCGGTAACTGGGGAGTGTGGGCCTTCCGAGGCAAGAGGTACGTCTCATCGAAAACGCCAGGCAAAGTGTTCGATTTTTCGATTCTAACAATTTTCGCAGATATGAAGCAACGACAAAAAATGCTGAATGAGGCACAAATCTGTATATGCATCGCTGTATATGACTACGTTGACTTAGTAGTGTATAAAATGCACCGCTCCGTGCTAATGAGATAAGTGCTGTAAAGTCAATTGGGCGCCTCAATAGAGTCTTCCGGTCTATGCCTAATCCACGCGAATATTCTATAGAAATGGACTAAATGGCGCAAAATTACGTTTTCGGCACCTTAAACACCAAAGTGTTTTGTTTAAATGTGTTAAGGTTACGGAGATTGTGTCAAGCAATAACTGATAAATGTATTATGTATTATGTATGAGGCTCAACGATTCTCTGTATAACGAGACATGGCAATCCTTGCTCTCGCATGGGATGCAAGTCAAGAGCCGATGGTACCTTAGTCGAAGGCCTGTGCTCAGGTGCTAAAATTTAAGATTTACGCAGGCTTCGGGGCGCTCCGCTGCACCTGTCAACGTCATTTCAGGTGGCACGAGCGTCTTACAGTTGCCGTAAGCTGTGGCTGCAAGTGCGACGTCCCTTGACAAAAAAAGTACAAGGGGATGTCGCCGCAAATAATGGTTCCTGCAGCAGCAAAACGGCAACGAACTTAGCGCGATAACCAACTAAACCCACTTTCAACTCCACGACAACTCCCTCTCAACCACATACAGTCCGTATTGTCGACAGACGAGAGAATCTTCTACCCGATTCAAATACCATGACGATACTCCGGTAAATGCTCCATCCACTTTTGACCGGGGATGTCGACGCCATCATCGGGCGCCATCCCGCCCAGAGGTAGCCCGGTTCCGACCAGTTTAAAGGCGCCAGCGACATCAAGCACCAATCCCGAATCAGTCACATCATCCACCGTAAACAAGGCTTCTAGTTCACCTGCTGTGACTCCACCGTCCTCCGCTCCTCGTCGGTCCACTCGTCCCATTTCGTCCGACTTTCTCTCCGACAAGGCCACCGCTGCCTTCATACGCCGAGTATTATGCGCACAACACTTAGCTGATAGAGGGAGGAGCACGCCTGCTCCGATTCAGGATCTACTACCGCCTCTCACTAGTCGCAACGATGTGGATCTCCAGTTATATGCTCTCATAGCTGTCATCATCAAGGAGTTTGTTCAGAATTGGTATGCCAGGATTACGCCAGACGAGACCTTCGTTTCCGAGATTGTGCATATCATCGCACATTGCACTCGAGCTTTAGAAGAGAGGTTGCGGAATGTAGACCTCGAGAGTTTACTGTTTGATGAACTCCCAGAACTGCTAGATGCGCACATCCGAGGTTGGCTGCCATGTCTATTGTTATTCGGCAAACAAAAACTCGTATATTCCATTACCCATGACTAACGACATCACACAGCGTATCGACTTGCGAAGAGCTCTGTGGCCCGTCCCCCGGTTGAGGCCAATCCGCGCGAAATCTACCATTCGCTTTGGCCTCTACCTGCTCTATCCCCTGTTCCTAAATCCGAGTCTGGCAGTGCCCAGGTCCAGGCAAGCAACGAAAGTGAATATCGTCAACTTTTAGTTCAGGGTGTCCTCGCACTTCTACTTCCAACTGAAGATCTCGAGAATGAGTGTTTGACGGCGTTGGTTGGACAGATACTCTCGGAACTCGTTATTGGCAATCTAATTGTCAATAAACTATCGGAGCCATGGCTCATATGGGAAATACTAATCATGCTAACGAGATTAGTACGCACGAAAGGGGCCGTAAAGGCTTCTGAACCTAGAGACATCACACCGAGCATCAATCTAAAAGCGGACGCCGGCATAGTACCGCCAACTACGAGCAAGACTAGCCTGCATATTCAAGAATCTTTCTGGACCGTGATCCAATGGGGATTCACAATAGTAAACTCGATACGATTAATGATCAGCACTTTAATGCTTTCCCGATCACTCCCTCCAAGATCCACTCCTAGTTTCGTTCGCCTAGCAAAAACACCCTTTGATGGTGACGAAGAATCATACCACCCACCAGCAGCTTCAGAGACACCCTCACAGCCAGTCAAGATCCCCATTGCGGATTTCAAAATATGGTCTTGCGCCGGTAACCTACTCGAAATAGACGCTCGCATGCCTTGGATGAGCGGAGCCTTCTCCATGATACAATGGGGAGCTATTAGAGGTCCTGGAAATTTGGCAGGGTTTGACGGGATGATCGATAGGTAGGCGAATCAATCTTCTTTTCTTCTTCGTCGCGGAAGCACCTATCTCGTCACCTCGCATGCGTCTCAGGTCACAGGACCAGACGTCGTCCATTCATACCCCCGGAATTGCCCTGTCTCGCGAGTGTGCATGACGGGTATTGCCTTTCTATCACAAGATTAATTTCCATGGACGATCGGATATCGGCTTGGCAAATCGACGAAACGAGACACGGATACTTAGGCCAGACCGTTTTCAGTAAAGCCAACCTCTAGTCGAGGGAGGTGCTGTACGACGCTACCAACCTCTGGAGTCGCGGCCGGATAAACAGGAAGCCACCCAAAGTCCGATATTCGCCAGGGTCAGCAATAGAGACCTCATTCCAGGGGTTGTCCTCATTGAACGACCAATGACCGGGTAAACCTAGATATCCTTCATCCGATTGCTCGATAAACGGCGCGGGGCTGAGTCTAGTAGGTCTTACCTGGCCATCCGCGAGCCTTATTTACGCGCCCAACTTTAGAACTTGCAGGGATTCCTGCCCTCGACCAAGGATTCCATCAGTCAGTACGACGCCACGAACTCTTTTCCCTTTCGCTTCGTACCGCTGGACCCCACCGCTACCGTTTCCCGCACGCACGGGCATGTCTCCGACGCGCGTTGTTCAAGCTAGGGACTTTTACAAGGACAGATCCTATCTCGAACCTGGATATCTTAGCATCCTCTGCTATTCTTCTTCGATGTTAGTACCTGCCGCACTACTCATGGCCATCCCACTATATTCCAATATGTACTTCCGCTCTTGGTTCGATCGGCGAAACAACAACGACCATGTTCAGCTCCGAATGCCGTCAGATGTGATCGTCCAAAGACGGCACTAGCTTGCGTAGCTTAGACCGGGGTATCTTTCGAAACCTTTCCGAGCGCGATAATGTGGCTTTTGAATACCCTGGCGTCGGGATACGCATGTATCATACACCATCTTGGCCGTTCCGTCCAAACTTAATCGATCTGAGCTCCTCAGGTCTCGGCCTCGCATATTTGCGCCCAAAAGACCTTCATCGACGTACCTCTTCCCCGATCGGATAGGGACAGGGGTAACCCCCAGGGCCTATGCAGCTTCTAGCTCCCCTGTAGGAGCTCTCCTCTCCACGCAAAGCTCCACGGTCCCCTTGGAAGCCTCACATCGCTCGTTTGATATAGTCATGCGTGGTGGGCTTCGCATTATCAATCATTATTAGATTATGTATTAGGTGTGGTTACACCAAGTCTTGTGTACCTTAACCATGAAGCCATGGTTGCGGCAAGATTCTCTTATGGAACCGTTCGGATTATCTGCCCTAAGAATATGGCCCTTTCGAACTCGCGTTCCTCCCCCCAAATCCCCAAATCCCCCTCGAATCATCCCGCTTACGGTAACACCTGTACCACTAAACCCCCCACGTTCCCTACGACGCCTTTCCTTAGAAGCTTCTATTAATGTTCGCTGGTACATGGTTTGCACTGTACTGTACTGATCTCGCACAGACTTCTTTCACATCATATCCACGCCTATATTCTCGATCCTGCTCGTCTTCCCCCGCTCCTCCGAGCCGTGCGCGGCGCCATCTTCCCCAATAACGCCCCAGGCGTATCCAGCTTGATCCCTCCCTCATCTGGCGAACAACTGGCCGCCCTGCGTCGCAGATGCGCTAGCGCGCTTTTGGCGCTTGTTCCGAGGGGGGTGGGCAGGCTTTATTACGGTAGCAGTACCTGGCTATTCTCTACCAGATCGACTAACACTCAGAGGAGTCCGAGCTCGCGGTCCGGACCGTTTAAAACCAGAGGTAATAACACAGCACATAATACCAATAGCACTGGAGAGGAAGTTGCACGCGTGCGGCTTACCGATGAGGGCAAAACTGTTAGAGAAAGCCATGCAACGTTGACCCCAGAAGGTTCAAAGCGGCAATTTGGAGACACCGGTGTGCCGCCGACCGAGGCTGGTGGCGACAATCGGGCTGACATGTGTGACGAGGGCGATGACGAGGAGGAGAACAGAATCTTATCGGAGATCGAGACCGGCATACTCGATGTCTTCTCGGATCCCTATTGTAACAAGCATCTGGTGTACGGGATTCTAGAGCTCATCCTCGTGCGCCTTATGCCCGAACTAGCCGAGAAGGGGGTGATCGAACTATGGGAAGAACGTTTAAGTTAAGGGAGGGGCCGGGCAGTCGGTTTGTCCTCGTAAACGAAATAAGTAATGTAAATGACTGATACCCAACCAACCGGCCTGCCGTTAGAACGGACAACACAACACAACATAAAAATTAAAAAAGAAATTGAAAAAAGAGTTTCAAACTTTTTCTCATGCACCGCCCTGGTTCCAGATCGGGTGGCACCCTCTCTCCTCATGCAATGCAACGTACACAGTCCAACATAAGCCAGCGACAGAAACTGACGGGGCCGAGGGACGAGTAGTTCCGGAAGGCTAGTTACAGAGCCGCGACAGGCTCCGCTTTCGATGTTTACATTTTGCATCTTTTTTTTTGTTGTGTGTGTTTCATCTACTTTTTTTTGCGCTTGTTCGTCCGGCTTGTGATAAAGGGGGGAAAAGGGGTCCCCCTGTTATTACTTATGGACGTAGAAGGTTACCCCAAAAAAATAAATAAAGCGTTCGGTCATGGTTTTGGGACGGGCTTTCGGATAGCGAAATCGAACCCCCTTTCTGCGAGTGGTGTAACGTCAACGGCTTGCCCCTGGAAAATGGAAATGGAGTGTTTGCGAGGGTTGGGCCGGTTTGCTGCGTCGGCTTGTATGAGACCCCTTTTCCCTCTCTCTTGCGTGTCCGAAGCGAGGAGTTGGGCCGGAGGGACGGGAGGGAGTGAGTTTTGGTAGTTTGGTACTAGGGAGGTCGGAGTTACGCTCTCTTAATTCATAGCACTTTGCGGGGTGTGTATTGCTGAGATATGGAGATGTAGGTAGGTAGTAGTAGAGCAGTGAAAATTCAAGATTAGTGTCAACTAGATACCTAGAGAAACAAATCACTCCGGATAGAACGCCTGATAGTGCTGCTATGTAGGTAGGTAGCGAGGAAAAAAGAGAATAATGAACCGAAAAAAACACATTCCCCTTTACCACAGAGACACTAAACACCGGTCACCGTTGAACACCTTTCGCGCCCCCTTTCCCCTTTGGAACCCTCCCCCTTCCTTCCCTTCCCCTTTGCCTCCCGCGGACGGAGGGAAAGTTGCCTCTCCACGTCCAAAAAAAAAAAAAAAAAAGATATTGTCGGCGAATGTGTACTCTTTCCCTCCTCCCAACCCCTATTCTCAACTCCGTCGAGGATAACGAGGGGCTTTCCGAGGTCTTTTTCCCTCGTCGAAAAGAGACACAGACAGATAAGACATGTATTTAGGTGTGTTATAGTTGTTATATATGTATATATATATACGAGGGGGAGACCTTATAGAAAATACCGAGAAGACGAAGAAGGAAGAAAGAAATTTGACAATAATATTTTGAGATTTTTCGCGATGTTTGGGGGTTTTCCTGGGTTTTCCTGGTTTGTCGGGTACTGGCTCGCGTGGGCGATACAAAGTCTTGCTGCCGGATAGATTCGAATCGATAGTATGGTATAGTATAATATATCAATATAGCATCGAAAGGGATAACGAGCGCCCCAAGCATAATTCCAATATAAGATTTTTTTTATCCCCTCCTCTTTCTGTACTCCCTCACTTCCCTCTCCCCTTCCCCCTTCCTCTCTCCCTTCGTCGATTGCTCGAATTTCGGGTATATTTTCGCTTTGGGTTAAACGCGCGGTGGGGCGACGGGGGGTATAATAGCTTGTGTACGGTATATGAATTTGATGCTTCGTGAGAAATGTAGTGTATATAATTAGATACGCTTTGTTTTCGGTGTTTGTTTTTTTGGTTTTCTTGTTTTTCCTGAAAAGTTTTCCCCTTTCCCCTCGGCCTGGTGACTCCTGTGAATGAGCATGGATATTGATGACATTGTTCTGGTTCCCTATGCCTGTCGTGAGACGTTTTCTGGTGTAGACTCAGAATGATTGGGTCGTTCTGTCGCTGTGGATACTGTAGTTGGAAGTGAGCGTGAAGATTGTTGTTAGGTAAAATAATTTTGGGGTCGTCGAATACGTCCGGCGTCTGTAGTTGTTGATCCGTCAGGTCATGCAGATCAGATTCGGGGATTTCTAGTTGTTCAATTTAGAGGATTAATTAGCCCGCATCTGGTGCTGTCGTCGACCTGGTCGAAGATATGACCCTCGGAAACCTAGAAAATAGAATCTAGTGGTTGTGGGAGAGTTCAGACTACCGTGGATACGTATAGTATGCATGGAGGTGGTGTCATCAAAATGGATGAATTCAGGTGTTGTCATACACTCATCGTCGTCTCATTTTTGATGAGGGGCGAGGGAGCCGTAGTCATCTCTGTATCGCCTTCCGGTATCCTTGACAATCCTCCAAAGCCCTGGGAGGCCGAATTAGTCTGAAGGATCCCCATTTGTTGTTGTGACTGTAACCCCAGCTTCTCGGTAAGTCCGAGGACTATTAAGAAGTCGTTCTGGTCAACCAACCCCGTGGTCTTGAACTGCTGCATGAAACTCAGGAGGGTATCGGCAGCCCGTCTGGCATCCTCTTGCGTCGGTGAGCTCGGTGAGGATCCCAACGTCGTGCCAGACACCGCAACTCCTGAGCAACTTGACCTGCCGGTTAAACTGCTGTTGCTACTTACGTGGTGCAGCGGTGTAGGCGGGGATATAGCCGAATCCAAGTTTCCAAAGGGCGGGGCCGGTATCTCGTGAGCGGGCGACTCGAGGGCTGATGAGGGTGCCGTTCCGGACTGGCTGTATTTCGGCGTCAGTGGCTCGCTGGACTGTGACTGGTTGATATAATCGAGGTGTCCGAGGTCGGGGACGGTCTGACTTCGAGGGCGCTGGAAGTTGGGGTTTCCGGGCATTTGATTCCGATCGCCAAACATTCCCGAGTTGGGATCCGGTGAGAAGTTGAACTGAGAGCCCGGGCTAAAAGCGCCGGCGGAAAACGTCGAACTTGGCGGGTCCGTTACGGCGCTGGAGAGCGACGTTGAGCTCTGCGAATGCGGGTGTCGGTATCCGTTGGTCTCGAAGTCCATGAAGCCTGTAGATAGAGATTCTTTGCTTTCGGATTTTTCGATCGCCGAAGAAGGTTGCGGTGAGGTCGTCTGGTTAATCGGTGAAGCCGGTGAGATCCCTCCTGGTGTCTGCGAAGTGGATAGTAGCGGTGAGCCAGTGTCCAGTCGAGCGTTGTCAGGAATAGCCGTCTCGGATGCTCTGCGGATAAGTTTCCCGGGGCCAATGTTGTGCTTCTGCTTGAACTTCTCGATCCAGGAGGCCGTGATAGTTTTCAGAGGACTGTCTGAGCCGGTACAGAATACCTTTGCCTTCTCCTCCATCTGGGAATCGCTGACCACGACTCCCTTCTTCTGTTGACCTCTGACCCAGTTTGCAAGAGCTCGCTCAATGTCCGGCGGAGACTTTCCCTTGGATTTCTTCACGGGAGAGCCGCCCTGACTATCCATGTTGAGGTAGAGTTCCTTCCTTCGCAATACCTTCGATACGGTGCTGTCAAGGTGATGTTAGCAATTAGGATCCGTGGCGCCGCTTGTCGACTTTACCTTCGCTCAACACCAAACTTTTGTCCAATCTCCGTCTGTTTGGCGTGAGGGTTGTCCTCGTGAAATAAACACATATTCCTGCGATCTTCGTCCGTTAACGTCTTCCTTGGCTGCGACGTGTTAATCGTCGGCAACCTCGGAGGTTGTCTCATAGGAGCAGACGCCGGAGGGATAGGTACAGGAGGCGCCGCGTAGCTCTGAGAAGGGTTCGTCCGGAGGCTAGGCCATGGAACCTGGTTTGGTATTATCAGCGGATGAGGTAGATGACTCGCGTAATTATTGTGCGGCTGGCTATGCATCTGATGCGGAACGGGCGGCGGGGCCATGCCGATAGACTCAGATGGTAACCCATGAGTTACCGGCGTGCCGTAATATTCACCACCGTAAGTTGTCATTCCCATATTGTTATAGGCGGACATATCAACCCATTGTTCGTTCGAGTACGAGTTGTCATGAGCCAGATGATTATCCTGGTCTATACCAGTTGAGCCGATTATTGTGTTGTGCATGGTTATCGTGCCAACTGAATCGGCTATATTAGACAGTTGGTGGGTTCCGTAGGATATAGCCCGCATTGACTGGCAGTCACGATATAGGCTGGTACCCTGAGCTTCCCGTTATGTAGGTTTTGGCAACGAGCCGCAGTTAAAGTCTGATAGAGAGGTAGGATTGGCGCTGGCGGCTGTGGAGATCTGCCGAGATGGTTTCTTTTGATAACTCGACAGTTACGGGCGGAAGACAACATGCATACTCAGATTTAGTCAACCAATTGGTCCTTTAAAAGAGGGCAGGCGTGCTGTGACCGCTTGTGTGTAGTCCACTGTCCTCGTGAGCTGTTGGGAGCTGCAGCAAAAGTCGGTTGACTGCCAAAAGGTTTGACCGGTAAGTCTCCCGTAGTAATAAAGGATGAGGAGGCGCAAATCTCGACTCAGGTAGCTAGTCGTTTGGTTGTCGTTGTATATCTCATGCGCAACAATAGGACGTCGAATTTTAAGAACCAACCAACAAGCACCTTTGGGGGCCTACCGTTTCCTATCAAGTTGGTCCAACTCTTTACACTTTTTTCGACAACGGGAACTCTTCCCCTGAGCTGATCTAGTTTCCTTATTGTGATTTCCTGGTGAATCCTATTCTCCCTTCGTGGTTGTCTCTTATTTTCCCCCTCTATTTTTGCTGCATCGAAGGAAGAGCAGGAAGAAGTTGGCCTGTGCCGTCTGGTGTAAATGGAAACGGCCGAAGGGTTGACAAAAACGCAGCAGGGTGGACGAGGTAGCAAACAGAGTCAACTAGGGACTAGTGAAGTGGTGGCTTTCACCAGCTTGACCATCGATTGAAGGTCTGGCTCGCCTAGTAGAAGACGCCGCAATGCAGTCTCATAGCTGGGCTTTCAAGATAGGAATATCAGACGCACGGCGAAAGGTAGGGCTAGATGCTAGACACAGAACATGTGGAGGAGACCGTACATAGATACATATGTAAGAGTATGCAGTAACAGGGATGCGAGAGTGCCCTTCGAGTCCGGGGGCCCTGAATTACAAGAGATACTTAGAGGGGGGGTGTGCGTGTGGTAACCCTCGAGGGATAAGATGTGGTATGACAGGTCTGACAGGACGAGGGTCCCTACTCAGAGGGTACAGATGAATTAATGTAGTTAGGCCCGTGGATGTGCGTCTAAAGAGGGCTGGCTAGCCGGGGTTGAATCTTCAAGGTGTGTGGAGAGACCGCGATGCTACCGTGCTTTTTTAACATGTCAGAGAAACCACAAACTGGAGAGCTATATCCATATCCTGGACAACAGCCATGCCCATCAGACGGGAATGACAAGGGCCGCAAAAAGCAACTGAAAGCGCCACCCCCGGGGCACTCGGTAAGCCGTACACGTAGAACGTAGCAGTTGATTTATGAGACAAGCCGAATGAAATGCTAGAGAAAAAAAAGAAAAAGAAAAAAAAAGGGACGATTAAAACGAGCTGGACGACTTAGAAGACTTCTTCAAGAAACTAACTCTTTAGATAATTTCAGAACACGAAATAAGAGAGAGACAGAGACAAAAGAGACGAATGGGTTTGGTTTGGTTTAGTTTAGACCGTATTTCCCTAGTGCTCCCGTCCGGGTGGCTGCCAGCCATGTTTCCTAGTTAAGAGAATGTTTCTCGACGAAAGTTCTTTTGGCGTTGATGAGGGGAGAGCGAGAAGAGCAACGAGGAAGCGGCCGATCTGGCTGGTCCAAGGTCAACCGAATCTAACTAAAGTGCGGGTAACTGGATGCTCCCGAGGTGGAACTAGGGCATGGGGATCTTCGAAATGAAAAGAATAAGGTGCTATGTAAAATAAGGTCTGATGGATCATGAATACTTGCAAGAGAATGGTGATGATGATAGCAAATCTTGCCCTATTTCTTATTAGGGATTATGAGTCCTGAATAAAACCCCACATGCAGTTGGATCAAGCAGCTAAGGAGAGCGCGCTTCTTCCTCTCACCTCTTGTCAGCTTGCTTCGTTACCTAGTTATTGCCATATTACCTACCCAGCAATGCCGGGCATGCCTGGCATGGCTAGCATCAGATGTATCTTCAATAGCATCACACCCTGCCCTGCCCTGTCTGCCCCGTTGAAATAAAACAATCAGGACAATAAGAAGATCGAAGCAGCGGCAACGAATAGATCCCTTCCCCCCATCGTCATCGTCACGGGCCAACTGGGCCAACTTATTTAGACTCACGATAGTTGAGATGAATGGGTTTAGCCAAACCAGGTTAAGCAATATTAGGGACCAAAAACGGACCAAACAGACTAAGCCGGGCGGACCAGGTGAGCCGTTGCGACACCTACATAGGTAGCTCGGCGGGAAGGATTGCAAGCATTTGAGTCGACCTTCTCGGAGAAGTCTTGGTAAAGGTCAGCGAAACCCTGTGCCGCAAGTCGAATAAGAGAGGCAGACACTGGCAGAGAGGTCGAATGAGGTATTTCGTAGAAGCTTGGCCTCGTTTCTCCTTCTCCACTGAGTCTTTTTAGTCTTAGCGGACTCGTTGACGGGCTGACCTAGCAGGGGGACTCTCTCTTTTTTTCAGCAGGGTTACCATGGTCCACATCCCCATGTCAGAAACGGACCGTATCGCGTTTTCATAGGGCAAACATGGGCCACTCTCTGCCACCGTTTCCGTGCCCCGTCCACGACGGATCGTCATAATGGATTTCTGTTATATTATTTGACGGTCGCTAGCGAGCCAGATCTCCCCAAGGCCTTGAAGAGCTTCATGTGAGCCCCTCACCTTCTGAAAACAAGCTTGGAAAACATCCAATTATACAGCCGTCAACCCCAGGCCGAGGTTTCGAAAGAACGCGTATTGCTAGAACATCACGATCCTATTCATTCCTCTTGGATCTACTAGAGCTCACCTGCTATCTTCCTACCGTCGTCCCGCATCCAGTAGGTAGCTAGCTTATTGCTAGTCCGGGAGACGAGAAGCGTCATCATCGTGACGGTCGAAGGGTTGGAGGGTCGAAGGGTCTCAACAAAGTAGCTTTTCTTCGTCTGGATTTGCCAATTCGGCCATAATCGGACCATATGATGACAAAGGAGGGGTATTAGGATTTCTTCGTGCTCGCCGAGCCGAGCGGGAAGGTCATTCTTGCGACTCTCCTCTTCCACAATCATTAATCATAGTGCGTAATGCCCATTATCTCCGTTTGTGAGACAACCTCGACCAGGTCAAATTGAGATGAGCAGCATATGGATACGGGGGCCCCTGTCTATTTTTCCCACCAAGGCCGATGGTGCCGGGGGTTCCCCCCCAAAGTCTGTGAGCTTTTTCTTGACATTTCTGTTTCTGATGAAGGTCGTGACCTCTCTTCCCTTCTTCCCCCAGCCGTTCCACACCTATATTTCGTCGATTGTCTACCGTTTAATGCCGGAAAGCGGAAAGCCTCACACGTCTAGGGCAGATCATGGCAGGCCATAAAAGATCGATGTCATGCAAACCGGGGTTGAGATCTCTACGCCTCAATGGTCTCATTAGAGCCATTGACGTACGCGATGATGTTTTCCCACGCGAGCCTAAGGCTATCACGAGATATACATAGATCAAAGTATAAAGCGCTACATATATACATACATGCGCGGTCCGAGCATGAGACAGCGCAGTGTTTCTGGCAAGCTCTTATGAGAGCCTCCTACGACCTCGTGACGAATTGCCAGTAATGCGACGGAACGCCAGTCCTTTCAGAAGCAGATCTCGTCTGAAAATTGCTCCCGTAGCACTCGTTCACTTAACGGGTGAGGGTTGTTCTATCAAGCCGTCGCGGCAAGCAAGCTTTGTGTAGCATCTAGGCCCCCCCAAGCTGTCGGGAGGATATCTAGGATCAACATCGCCTCCAACGTGCTTCCAGCGTACCTCAATATTTCCAGCGTCCGGTGAGGATTTTCACTTTCCTCACACTTCAGTGTTGGTAAGACTCATTCTCTCTCTTACGTCTCATTTCCACATTCCTTCCGGCGTGATTGTAAAATAAAGGAAAATATTTGTTCTTCAGCGACTTGACGGCGAGCAGCTATTTGCTCCCCCAGACCAACCATGGACCACCAACAGGTTCTTAGACGAAGAGCGTAGATAGGCCTGAATATTCCAGCACCTTGGTTCTCAAAGGCAGAGCAACCAACAGCCGGTCGCGAAGCAGCAGGCAGGAATTGCCATTGGACATAATTTCCGGGTCAGACGCGAGGCCTTCACCGAGGTCCGTTGGGCGATTGGGCATGAATGGTCAGGAGGTCCAAGCGAGTACTGTACTCTTTTCCGTGCGCCGGGCTATCTTCCAGTTGGTCAGCTCTATCTATATCCTGGACTATCCATGCCTAACTCTTCAGAAAGAGGCTTGAATCCTAGAAAGCAAGGGCTCGTTCGAGCTTAGCGTCCTTGCGAAAAGCACCAGTATGTTGCCACAAGGCCGAGATTTGTGTTACAGTACAAAGCTGCGAGGCGTCTGTGCAGCTCTTGAGGTTGTAACTTGTTTCTTTCGGCTTCATGCAAGGCTCAACACCCCCCCTCCATATGCCTCATGCCTCATGCCTCATGCCTCGAAGTCGGCTACTCCTCCCATATATGATTTCATTACTATGTAGATAGAATCCTTTTAAAGCCGCCAATTCACCCAATGCTGCCATAATAAGCCACGAACCGTAGCCGACCCCGGCGGTACGCTGCCGACAGTGCGGCTGTGGAGTTTAGATACAATACCTACCTTAATACCTACCTACCCTGCCCTGCGCACTATTTGGCGATCGAAGTAACGTCATGCCGCGATACATCTTCGTCCCTAAAAGCAGCAGCCATTGGCTAAGTACCCATACATTGCCGTAGATGCCCATCACTCATCATCCTTTCTGCCTTTTTTAAGACGACGCACAAGTTCCCATAAGCAAACCTCGGCGTTAGGTGAAATCGCGTAACGGCGCAGAGCAGCTCGACCCGAGCGGAGAAGATGGATGATAAAGCATAAACTACTGCGATTAT